GCAGTTGTGCTAGCTTGCTCCTTGTTGCCTAAATAAAAAAAGCTCAGACCACCCACTAACAGCAGCACCAAATATGGAATAATGTTTGCCTCCTAAAGAAATAGTTTTGCTTGTTCCTTTATTAGTTGCTGTCGAGAAGGATTATACTGACGAGCTAGCTAACCTCCTCCTCCTCCTCCTCTCAACTGTTGCTGCTGCTGCTGATGCTGCTGCTTGGAGTTATTTGCTGGTGTAACCACCACAAGTTTCGGCTACTTGTCGATCCCAGTTGTTTCTTTACGATAAAGCCTATGCCTCCATGCTCCTCCTGCTATATTTAATTAATTTATTATATCTGCATATAAAATTCAGTTTTTTTCTTCAGAAAAATGGAATTATATTAGCATGTACTGTCCTGCACTGCTCTTTATACTAGATCATGTTACCTTGTCTTCAGAGATGGCTATAGGTAGCAAAATAATTAAAAAGAAGATTATTTTTTTTCTTGGCGAAATTAAAAGGGTACTACTACTATATATATAAGAAACAGGAGGGTGATTGAGGCTAATAAGCTACCAGTATAATTCAGACACTGTACAATAGCAATGTAATGGTGCTGCTTAGTGCATGCATTTCGGAGTGGTGACAGCTAATGGGCGAGATATGCAGAATCATGAAATCATTAGAGGACAAAGAGATGGAGGCAAAGAGATTTATCACGTGTGACATCAACGCCCCCAATGAACTTAAAAAACAAACAATTAGTGGTGGGCCCCATCCCCAATTCCTCTCTCTCTCTCTATGCATTGGCCATTGGCCATTGGGTGGTTCGCGTGGTCCACGAGCTTACGCCATGGCACGGGTCCACCGCCCCCAACTCCCTCCTCCTCCTCCTCTCTTTCTACACCAAATTGAATTCAATTCTTGCAATTGGATTGATGAATTCAATTCAAGCTACAACTCACCTGACCAATGACAACACCCCAGCAACAGATTTGTCTTTTGGCAGGTACAGACAATGTGGATGTATACTATATTTAGGCTAAATTTGCATGGCCAAATTAAAGGGGTTTGAAAAATTTTCTTCCCAACATATATAAATCATTGGTCTAAAAAAAACATATATAAATCATGCAAAATGTTCTAGTTAACATGGCTACATGAGTGGAATTATGTGTAAGTTCATATTTTTCAGTGAACAACTAGTAATGTTATCATACAAATTAAAAGAGCTAATCTTTTTATATAATAAAAGACTGAAATTATTGTCCCAACCTCTATATCATACTAGATGCACATTTGTAAACAAAAAGAGATGATCTTTATACCTGTTCACCTCAAAGGTAATAAGAAAGTTCAGTTGCAGTCGTTCCTTTCTTTTTTTTTCTACTGTGACCACAATATCACTGTACCCACCACTTATATTATACTATGATCTTAGAACACGTGATCCGTAATTTAGACATAACCCACATGCATCATCCAGTGAATTAGGAAAGGGATAACAACACTAATTAATTAAGTATGCTTGCTAACGATGGTTAGTAACCTCTCTTCAAATCAAAGGCATGAAATATATGCAGCAGGGGTGCAGAGAAATGGGCTTGCTGTGCACACATTGAGGTTGGGAGTGGGTGTTGTGGTTAGGGATATGAAGATGATGGATGGATGCCCTCCATCTCCTAACAACCAGTGGGTGGACCTAAATCAAAACCAACCTTGTCTTAGACTTTAAATTATAAATCCATCCCTACCTGCTTTGATCTTCCTTTTTATCCTACTTCTACTACTACTAGCTACTTCTACTGCCTACCATATTTAAAAGAAATAAACTTGTCCTTTTTACTTTCTTGTAACCACCCACTAATCTGTGTTTCACCTTTTAACTGTTGTGATCACCAGGGTAGCATATACATATTAACTGTGGAAAACAATTAATGGCATACACAGTATACTTAATTAAGGACGGGTCAGGTAGAAACTTTTGTAGGGAATTATATATTTTCCATAAGATATTATATGATTACATATGTTTATGGTTATTTGCAGTACATCAGGACACAATAAATAAACAAGAAAACAACAAATAAGTAAATGATTGAGTAGTATACAATCTGGATGACAAATCTTGTGGTACCTTGTTATACAAGATAGATAATCATATTGGTCGTCTTGTTATCCAGGACTTAATATAAGAGAGGTTTTCTTGCAAGTTGTAGCCAGTTCTAGAAAGCATCCATTGTTGATATCATATTAAAATGAGTGAGCTTAAGATAAAATAATTGGCATGATTAGTTCGTTTGATCAGTAAGTTGTTTGGCCGCCTTGGTAAGATCTCCTTCCTTTGGTGGCCGTTTATGGTTTCCTTTCGTATATGCTAAGCCAAGAACATATAATCCATGAAGCTGACATCCAACTCCCTGACAACACAGTAAATTAATTACTATAACCAGAAGTAATTAGTCATACATAGGACATGGCGATAGGAACTAGTTCCCAATTGAGGAATAGTAATTAACTCCTATATATACTAATGGCTATATATTCCAATTGATTGTTACAAGCATAATCTTGCAATTAGGCTAACTCTAGCTACCAGATGATCTGAAAGTGCAATTCAGAGGGCAGCTGCCACTATATATGCAATATATGCAAATGCTGTTTAACTAGCTAATTAAGATGTTGTTGCTGATGTAGGAGTGACGTGGGGGTGATTAATCAATATTAGCCACACAAATTAGGAGTACGTAGCAGGGTAGCATTCAGTCGCTGTCATGGTCCTTGAATTTAGTGTTGGGAGCTGTTAGTTTCTGCTTGCTTACTCAGCCTTCCTTCCTAAACTAATTAGTGTGCTGTTTTCTTTCCATCTCTTTTCAGATGCATTTGTCGCCATTATAGGCCTGATTGCTCTCAATTACAGAGGCTTCTCTTTGAATTAGGTGCCCCTAATGCGCCACGTGGCCGCCGCTTATTGGACTTGTTGATCTTAGTCTGTCAATTTTGTGTTCATATACTAGTAGATTACTAGTGCTAGTCTTGTTCCATTTCTCAGAGACAGATCAGATCTCTGCAGAACAAAATCACACACACACGCCTATGGATATATGTAGTGGTTTCAATTCTGTAGCTTATGTTATCTTATCCAAGCTGATTTAGCCTACACTTTAGTTTAACTTTATTTACATGTGTGATGCTATAATGTAATGACTTGTTCAAGCTATGAGAAAATTAATCAAGGAATAAAATTATAAGCAGAAAAGGAATTAAGTACTGATGGAGATAAGCCATTGCTATCAGTATCAACTGGGAAGATAATAAAGGTTAATTATTCTCTCATTTTCACAGATTACACAAAGTGCGTGAAAAGAATAATTAACATATATGTGTGTGCGTGGATCGTTTGTTTGATGCCGTGTCAGTTTGTAAATGACTCCAGCGATGAGTAGTCCACGGTATAGACAATGGGCATTAAAAATCTTGCGATAAAATCCAAAAAGTCGACGTATGATTAACTTAAATTGACTTAACCAACTAGATCACAATCAATGTACTAGTATAGATTATTGTTGTCTCTACCATGTCATCATCCAGACCACCAAATAGTTATATATTCAGATTAAAATATAATTGCTGAGCCTAGAGGATTAGAAACGTCTAAACAATACACTGATTGTGCCATTATTTTAGATAGGGCCTGGACAAACAAGTCTTGTCAAATGTTGACTAAACAAATACTTGAGTGTTTGTGCCACACAAGCAAGATCCAATTTTCCATTTGCTTAAGCTTAATTATTAGTTTGTTGTGAGAGAAATTTCAGAAGAAATTGCTATTCAGGTTGTTAATTTAATTCAGCTTGGCAGCTCTATGCGAAGGTATAGCCATCTTTGAATATGCAGAGAGCTATTTGGGATCTTAGACCCTGTCAAATTAACACCACAAAGCCCGTGTCCAAATCACACCGTGTGTAATCGATTAAAAGAAGAAAGCTTAGACATCAATTTGCAATTTGCTCTTGAGCTTTTCACCATGAAGATGATGCCTGCCCATCTCAACGTATTTCTATATATTCCACCATCCTTCCACAGTTTATCTACCTATTGATGAACAGTTCATCAATAAAGCTTCCATTGTCTTAAAAAACAGTTTTTTGAAGCATATTTCCTTCAATGTTTAAACTGAATTCAGATGGTAGTTTGATTAGGGTCCAAATTCTTATACAAGGCATCATTAATTGCACCCAACTTCCAGTTAGCCTATAAATGATCTGCAGGTAGCATGCTAATTAAACATTTGATAAAACACTGCACCGTTTAGCGCTGCCAAAAGGCCAATATAATTATGTAATTAGAAATTTTATCACAACCTACTATCTTGACCCCCTCAAAATGTTTCTGCAAATTAAAGAGAAGCAGAGAATTGGCATGCATGAAGCCAGCTAGCTGGGACACATGTCCTTCAATTAATCTGATGACTTACAGAGGATCATGGGCTCCCATAAGTTAGTTAATTTTCAGATATTTAAACACAGCTAGTAAGTACATATCATAGTGCGTGTACGTGTGAATCATAAACGAAACCGACCTAACAAAATTCGATCGGCGTCTCTGTCGATTGTTTTCAGATTTTCAGAGAAAAAAAAGAAGAAGAAACTCAGTTGGAAAGTTGTCTCTGGAAAGAGACCAACATGACGAGCTTCGGCAACTCCTAGGCCTATATTGACAACATTTCGTTGCATCGACGGTGATAGATGCACGTAAACTCACACAACTGAAACATCATCTTCATCCAGATGATGATGAGATGATGAACTAGGGCATGCAGCTGTCCCTGTTCAGATATATGCATATATATAAATATATATTTATCAGTCATGCGTGCAACCAAGAGAAAGAATGAGCTTAGCTAGCCATACATATGACCAAGTTTTCTGACCGATCGAGACATCTTTCTCTATCTCCCTTTCCTACCTTTTGGAGCAAACACATCGCTTTAATATTTATGGACATATATATATGTTCACTTCATGCCACTATTGTATTGCAGTTCCACATATAGTTTATAATAGAAGAGTTTCACAATCACAAATAAGGTTTGAATAGCTGTTCTATGAGCATATATGTCAATGTGACTCCTCTCCATTCATTGAAAGAAACATCTAAACACCTCCATGGTGTATGTGTTCTCCAAGTCAAATGAGTCACTAGGGCATGCATTTCAACTGTGTACTTGATACATAAATCACATAGTAATGAGTACCCAGCATGCATATATAGTACATGTGTACTAGTAATCTAGAAGGAGTATTAAGTACAACTACTGTCTACACTTTACTATACTCCATGTCAAGGACAAGGAGGAGAAGATATAGCTAGGATGCTACTCCTATTTGCACATTTCCAGTGGGTCAAAGCTTTCCTCTTTGTTCAGTGCTAGGAAGAACCCTACTACTGGAGATCTTTGGCTTTTCCAGTGGCAAAAGTACTACACTACAGTGAACACACACATGCATGCATATGATACACCAAGAAGGAGAGGATGACACTGTTGTTCTGCCCTGTCAACATTTACTTGTCAACAAATTTGCTCATTAGGCTGCTCCTCTATCTGTGCCCTATAGAGCTATGCATAGCCTTTTGGTTTTGGAGCATTTCTGTTGTCTGTTATTGTTGCACATTTGGCATCTAGCACAGAGCACACCACTGAAAGGAAGTTGATTTTGATATGTGTGTTCGGTTTTAAGCTCTGAATTAGTAGCTCCTGCAAGCGTAAGACATTGACAATGACATTTAACAATACATGTAGCTTTCCCTAAAAAAGCAGCAAGATTAGTGCACCGAAACTCAGCTTGTTGATCCACTACGCATTTAAACGCTACTGTTTCAGCTGATCAAGGTCTAGTTTTCATGAAAGGCTGAAACCATATTGTTCATCTTTATTTATAACAGCAACCTGATTATTGTGCAGTTAACTTATGCATGCCCCAATTTCTCATTGCAACAAAAATTAAAAAAAAAGAAAATCAGGGTTACAGAAAAAACCTGGGACATTATTTATGGTGTGTGGTGAGTGCAGAGCTTTTGCAGGTCCATCAGAGGTTCAGATATGATCAGACGGTGCAGGTGCACTTCAAATATGTTGCAGCTTTGCCCTGTTCATCGCAACATTCTGTTAAGAAGGCAGCAAGATAGGAGTTGCAGCTATCAATTGCAAAACTGAGCACCATTATAACATGTGCCTCCAAAACCTGGTACTGATGGTCTGATACTGGAAGCAATGCAGGAAAAAAAAGCTTTTGCTGATACAGAGATGCTGACTGGTTCACTGCAGGGCCCATTGACACAACATCATCAATGGGTTCAGTTCAGATTAGTCTGAGCATGCACCCAGCTACAGGGCTACTACCGGCCATGTAGATAGGCAGGCATATGTATCTGCAACAACACCAGGCGCCATGGATGGACCGAGTTCAGTGCATCAACAGTGCACTCTTGGTACTCTAGCTAGCTACAGTACTCCTGTAGGGAGAAAGACTGAGACATAGAGGGGTGCATGCAATTGGACAGGGCGTTGTTCTATATGGGCTGTACAGTGCTCTCTCCATTTCACAGTGATTGCCATTTTAGTTTTGTCGTAAGTCAAACATTTTTATCTTTTATCAAGTTTTTAAATATTTATGTGGTTTGGCAACATAGGAATTATATATTACGAAAGTATTTCTCATGGTGAATCTAAAGACATAAACCTTATGATATTAAACTATATGAATTTCTATAAATTTATGATCAATGATACAGATGTTTAGCTTGGGAGAAAGGTAGAAGAACAAGTAAATTTAAAACAGAGGGAATAGCTCAATTGTAAATGAGCACATGTATAAGTACAACCATCAGATCAAATAATAATTAGCAGATGAGAACTAATAAGAGTAGTTGATAAATTTCTGTGGCATCTAATTGGAGGCTGTAAGAGTACTGAACTGGTCCATCTTCCAAAACACTCAAACTAGCATGCTGATATCATGCAACATTACAACATACATACTACCATGGAACTGTACAACAGCCGATCGGCAACATATAAATATGTGCCCTCTTGTACTTTGCAAGTAGTGTTATCTGTTAAGCATGCTCATATCATTATCATGCTGTTCTCCTCTCAATTGTTTGGATGCTAATATGCTATCTTGGCTAGGATGTGGTGCTGTATAGAGTCCATTTGTCTAAGATAGGTGCAAGGTTCTTTTTCTAATATTTTTTTAGTATCTAGTATATGCAATACAGCAGGGTTTTTGTTTTGAACTTTTGATGTTGCCAAAAGCATGTGAATGACAGACTGAGTTTGGCTGAAAAAAAAAAACCTACTGGTCTTTGCCGACAGCATTTCTGGTGCTCAATTAGCATGTAAAAAACATGTTTTTGCAAAAGAGGCCTGCTAGCTAGGCAGAGTCCTTACTGACTCTAATGCATGCAACAACCAACAGTAGACAGAGTCCTTACAACCTCTAGTAGTAATATAAAGTTATAGCCTTTTGATTACTGTCATGAGTTTGCAGGTGTATGGTGTATCACAGAGAGGGAAAGTTCATTAGCACAAAAAAATTTCCATCTTTTTAGTACCTTACTTGTGTAGATGAATAGTTTCTGGATATATAACCAGCTAACTGAAACAAGTTAGTTTTATTTTCAGGATAGGCAGCTGCTTAATTAGTTGGCGTCAGCCTCTGTGGATACACAAGAATATAGTTAGCAGACGCTAGTAGCAGCGTGAACTGAAGGATAGTGACCTCTCACCTGTACCGGTAGCATTTTAATTTCAGCATGCATGACCAAATGGCATCAGTGTGCTCAGGTAGTTAGAGGTTGGAACGCTGGAACAATAACCACCTCACAATTCCCCTCTCAAAACAAAAAAAAACGTGTTACATGCATCATTACATATCTTATACAGACATAATTTGTATCGCCTTAATGTAATTGGCTAAATTCAATGAAACTTTCCAATATCTGAAAACCACATGTGCTACAATACTTCTATTGATCGAGTTATATATTCGTTCAAGAACTTCTTGTGCTGAAGTAAAATTAGTACATATTTGTGAATATAAATATATATTGGGGAACAAAAGGATGAGCTTTTTATTTTTTTTATTTATCTACGACTAAGGACAGAGCTACTGTTTTGTGAGGGCATCAGCAATGGCACTACCACAAAAGTACATGCAACTCAGTCTTTCTCCAAAGAAGCAGGCAGCAGCTGAGTTGTCTAGCCATTAGGGAAAAAATGATTAGCCAATCCTAATCTTGTAGCCGTTCTCATGTTTTGTTATTGATGATTCGTTTCAAGGCGTTATGATGAGAGGATTATATTATTGCAGCCGGCCATGGACCGTAGTCTATGGTGTAAGGGAACCGATCAGTGATTTGTCTCAATAATTGATAAAGAATCTTGCGTTGCTGCACCTCCACAACATTATGACCCTCTTTTTTCTTCCTCACAGAAAAGGCAGACGAAGGAAAGAATGGTCATGGTTTGATCATGGTGTTCAAGCTTTGCAGAGCCCATCTCATCTGGCCCACTATGTTAACCCACAATGATCACATTTTCTTCTTTCTTTCTCCTCTGAAATTTACCTTTCTTTAGAAGAGCTTTAGTTTAGTTTGCTGATGTTTATGTTTGTTTTCACTTTGATTCTTTAACTGTGGTAAAATGTTTACACACCCAATAGAGAGATGAAAAGCAGGAAGTATCAGACTATGAGTAAGTTAGGATAAGTGACTTACATGATAGTAATCGCAGATGCTATTGAAATTCTACTTCTGCATTTCAGAGTTTGCCGATTGCTCATCCATGAAGCCTGCTGGTCTTTTGAATAGAGGATTCAATCTACCCATGAATTTTATGAAATCATCATTCCGCACAAGAGTTGATGAAATATCTTTGGACATATACAAGGAAACAATCTCCATCTCCAAACAAAACAGGGCTTAGCTCTGCACTGTACTGCTGTGCCAGATCCTGCACGAACTCAACAGTTTGAGATGCAACGAACTGAACAGACCTCATCAAGATAATGAGTCCAGGTGATTGCAAAATCTTAGCCTCTCTGGACAACCTAAAAGTGAAGGAACAGTGATGACCAACGCTGTCAGATAGATCACCTCGTGGGACTGTGCTAGCAAAAGATTAGCCGATCGAAGAACCTTTTTCTGTACTCGGTGACAGAGAGCAGAAAATTGTGAACATTACTTTTTCCTTCAGACATGGAAACGACGTGTTCCTGCGATTTCAGAGATGCCATTATCTGCACAATGAAACGTAGATCGAACGCATCATCAATCAACCACAAACAGACAGAGACACCATCGATAACGGCACTCGCAACTCACCTCTGATGTTACCTCGAGAGGAAGAAGGTTCTCACGGAGGAGCACTCGCCGGCGCCGGCCATCGCCTACCACCACCTCCGACGCCGATCGCCGGCGCTCCGCCGCCCCAACGTACCGGGGAAAGGTAAAAAGGAAACTGACTACTCGATCTACGTGACAAGTTTAGGTTTCTTCTCCCTCGATCTGAACCGCACAACGTCACCTGGACGGTCCCTGACCCTTATAACAGGATATAAACCCAGACAAAGAAGAAGAAGAAGAAGAATGTTGTGTGATCTGTAGATAATCATAATCACATGGCAAACTTCAAAGTTACAAGTGTTCATCTTCTCAAAAAGAAATGAAGTTACATGTATTCATCGTACAGAAGATTGGAGCCATGCATGAACTGCACACCAGACAACTTCAGATAATTGTATAGGAGATATCTTGCACACTCTAGTCACCCTCTGATTTCATGAATCCAGCAAACCCATAAAAGCAAGAGCATGGACGAACTGTTTCAGTATTCCACTGGTTACTGACTATCTGCATTACTACGTTGCAAGCTTTGACCCAATGGATCATACATTTTTACAATCGTCAGGTTCCTCGCTTCTTCTGCCATGGATCGGAGGATTAACTTGGAGAACAAAACTTGAAGCATATGAATTGTAAAATATATTATAGGACTTAACAACAACCTATACATTATTTATCCAAGGCAGCAAATGGCTAGCTCTAACATTTATTCAAGTACAGGGCAGGGTATTTTGAGCTCCACCATTTTCAGTTCAGGAAAAAAACAAAGAGAGAAGAGCTCCTAGAAATCTCAAAGCATCCTACAGTATATCATATAATTTATCTTCTGGTGCATGGTTTGGGTGAACAGAGTGTTCATGCCTTCTCACCAGTGAACTTATCGAAGTAGGACAATATCTCCGAATTCACTCTCTCGGCCTGCTCTTGCTGGATGAAATGGTGACCTTCAATGATGACAACCTCAAGATTTGGAACGACGGACTTGAAAGCACCGCTCTTGACAAAGTGCTCAGTTCCAAAGGACTTGAGACCAGTGTCCTTGTCACCACAAATGAACTTTGTAGGCACCATAATTTTCGCGTTTTGCCAGGGTGCAGTAAGCCTCCAATTCCTGCATTTGCCATATATTACTGTGGAGATAAATCAAATAGAATGCGCACATACAACAAAATGGGTCCAAATTTTACGTGTCCATCATGCGGTAGTAGTTGATGGGTCCTGTGAACCCAGACTTCTGAAACTTTTCCGCGTACTGGCCAAGTTCTTCCTCGGAGATCCATGGAAGCGGTGTCGAACGTGCCTCAAGAAAGTCTATGATCTCCACTCCAGGGGGTGCGGTGAGGTCATCGATTTCAATGGAGAAGAACTTTTTCAGGACAGTTGCAACATCATAACGGGCAAATGCTCTTTCAGCTCTCCCTGGTTCCTGCAAAAGGCGGTTTTTAATTATGTTGATCCATTTTGAACGCGTACGGTGCTGATGATCTGCTGCTAATAATACAAAGCTAATTAAGGTGCATTCTGATGGCACCATGGAAGTGAAAAATGTGAATCTTTTGCAAATTCCAATTGTCCTCTAAATTGTCAAAATCTCCGATCCTCTTATGTGTATGAAATAAAAGATGACATGCCATTTGTGTATTGAGTAGAAGAGACAGTTTCAAACTTTTTTTTTTTTTTACAAAAAAAGGAACTATGGAGGGCTTTCATGCCAGCCTGAACATTTATTGCTCAAAATTTGAAACCTTCACAATATTGAATAGAAGGAATAACTAAGTTTTACATTGTGCTAGCATTCTATTTTTCATATCAACAAGATCCTGTGGGGTGAAACTATTAAAGCTGCAGTTAGCCCACTGAAGGAGATCATCAGCAAAACATCTGCAGGTTTCACACATTCAGACTTAAAAAAATGTCATTCACAAAATTTTTGAGTTTCAACAAGTCTAAGCAAGTGTCTATGAAAAATCAAATCAAAGCATCCTTAACTTACCACAGGATTGGAGCACACTCCATTTCATTACAAAGAATTTGTGTTGTGTGCCTATCTTAAAGCAGTTGCTGTAGTTACTAGCAAAATGTCCATCTTATTCAGACTAGATCGAGGTGATGCATTTCCTTCATCAAATTAAAGCACCGTAAACATTTCTTCCTTTCCATTCCATATGCTGTCCATTTCACATCCTCAATTTTGCAATACAATCTTTCATTCATGTATGTAGTTAAATTTAAGAGATTGCAAACCTGGAACTGCATGATGTAGAGGCCATCGCGCCCTGCGAATGCCTCCGAGAGCGAGCTAGGCCCCCGGGGGAAGAAGGGGACGCCGAGGTTGACGACGGCGAGCAGCATGTCCGGGCGGAAGAGGCAGAGATGCCACGCCACCTGAGCTCCCAAGTCGTGCCCCACCACCATCACCTTGGGGAGGGCGAGGTGATCGAGGAGGGCGACGAGGTCTCCGACGATGTGGAAGACGGTGTAGGCGGCGGGGTCGTCGGGGACGGTGGAGTCGCCGTAGCCGCGGAGGTCGGGGGCGAGGGCGCGGAAGCCGCGGGCGGCGAGGGCGGCCATCTGGTGGCGCCACGACAGCCAGAGCTCCGGGAAGCCATGGATGAGGAGCACCGGCGGGCCGTCGGCGGGGCCCTGCTCGGCGACGTGGAGGGAGATGCCGTTCACGTCAGCGTTCCAGTGACGCACCACCTCTCCCCCCATTGCTGCCTCTGCTCAGCTCCAACAAATATATACTCCATTCCAACAAATGTGTCTGAAAATTCTGCCTGTTTGACTTTGAAATTTACAGCTGAAGATCACCACCACAGTTTAATTCTCCGATGAAAATCTATCACCACGGTTGAATTATCCAATGATGAAAATTAAAAGAATCTACAGAGAGGTCATCGTCACAGTTGAATTATCCAAGAAAATAAGAGGAAGGTCGGTCCATCAGGTTGGTTCCTTGTTAGCGCTGAATACTGAATTGAGCACTGTCCATAATTTAGTCCAGCGCATGCAACAATTCACAAACTCTCCTTGTTACCACGAATCAACAACAAATTGCTAAACGAACAAGTAGTGAGTGGAGAAAATAACGAAGCCCGTGGCTTTGGGTGCCGTGCAAAGGAAAACAAATTCATGTTGAAAGCCAACAGAGAAATGTTTAGATCGACATAGGAGACATGAGAGGTGGTAACCAATGAAAAGAGGAAGATTTTGATGTAAAAAGAAGAGATATATCACCATAACTGCAACTTGACAACTCTTACGTACTAATAGATGAGCAAAAACAGACATAATATGCAGCAGATGCTGGATTTCTGTGGAGACGAACACAGACCGGGAATTGAGAATCGACAGAAACCGAACATAAAACAAAGCAGATTATGGAAAAATTAAGTAATCAATCATTTGCGCAAGAATACTACTAGTACTGTTCCAATAACGAGCAACAATTAATTGCAAGGCTACTCGTCGTCGTCGTCGTCGTCGGTGGCCTCGGTCTCCTCCTCGGCGTAGCCCTGTTTGACGTACTGGTCGATGAGGAGCTGCTCATAATCGTTCATCTTGCGATCAATGAACTTTGCGATGCCGTAGAGCTGGCGATATGACGCGGAACAATTGGCGAGCTCCTCGTCGGAGAGAGGCTCGGTAGTAGCTCAAGTAGACTCCCCGTAGTTAGCCGGCGCCGCCCCGACCGTTGCCGTCGCTCGCCGTGTGCTCGCCGCCGTCGCCGCTCGAGCTCCGTAGCACCCACACGTCGCCAGCCTCGCTCGGCGTAGCTCCGTCCAATCCGACGCTAGCATCGAGTTCCCGACACCGCGTAGATGCTCTCACCGCCGGGAATCGGTCCCTCGTGACCTCGTCGGCGTTTCCCTCTTCCCTCCCCACCGGTTGTCGCCGCCGCGATTCGCCGCCGTCGAACTCCCTCTGGCGAATCCGAGCCGTTGGCTCGTCTCCCCTCATCACGAACAACCGCCCGGTGTGCTAGCTTTTGCCCGTATCGCCGTGGTTCGCTCCGCCGCTCGCCGCCGCCGCCCGCCGTCCATTCGCGGCCGGGTCATTGTCTACCTCCCGCCGGCCCGCGTGGCAGCCACGTAGGCGCCACGTCGGCGCCAGCTCAGCCTAGACCGGGTCGAGCCGACCCCGGTCAGTCCCTCCCCGTGCGCGCGTTCCACCGCGAGCCGTGAGGCTGCGCGTGGGCCCGCTGCATCCGCGTCCACCGCGAACCGCGCGCGTGCACCGCGTCCCTCCCCCGCCCGCGCGCATGAGCCGCGTACTCCCTCCGCACGGTGAGCCGAGCCGCTGACAAGCGGGTCCCACCCGGGACCGCGCATGGTGAGCCCGGTCCACCGGCTCTCTCTCTCCTCCCTCCCGCGCGCGTGCGTCTTGGGCCGCTCTGGGCCACCTTCTTGGGCCGGCCGGCCCGTTAAGCTCGGCCGAGCCGCCCTTTCTCTCGGGCCGCGCCCTAGCCGCCCGAGGGAAGTCTATATTCCCTCCCTCTCCCCTGTTCTTTTCTTTTCTTTTCCAAAAAAAAGGGATTTAATTAAATCCTTTTCCTTTAGACCAAAAATCCAATAATCTTAGAAATTCAATATCTTTCCAACCGTAAATCCGTTTGACTCCGTTCAAATTCCAAAATTTCTCAAATCTCGAGATCTATCTAATGGCACGCTTAGAGGTCATTAATAGGGCTTTATTTTCGCCGTTTGTTGAGTTGTCCCGTTTTGCGTGTAGTTTCGGAGCCCGAAGACCCGCAGTGCGAGGATTTCGAGGATCAAGCTCCAGATCTCGAGCAAGGCAAGCCACCTTTGAACATCTTGAGCCTATATTTGAAATCTAATTATATTGCTTGCAAAATATTATGCATTGATAGGATTGCACTTAATCTGTTGTTCCGTCTGCAAGGCAGATTGGCAGACCTACCTAACTTGTTGCATTTGATCCTTCCATTGTTAATTGCTATACCATGTCCCCTTGTAACCATCCAGTTGCGCCTCGATATTCGTGCACCCTGTGCCAGTATCGACGGTCGCCTTCAAACTTAAAATCTGAGTAACAACTTGGGTAAAACTGGAGTTTTACAAAAGACTTGGAAAACCCAACACCTGGGTCGGTGCTTGTGAACTAAATGAATTTCCAAAACCGCGGACCGGGGAACGTACCGGGTGTACGGTTTCCCGCTCTCGCACTTAAGGACCGATTTCTTGGAATTTCATCCAAACATAAGACAAGTACGACCACATGGGTGGAATGGGACACCCCTGGCTGAGTAACTAGCTTATCAGGGGAGCCTTGATGCCGAGAGACATGTGGATTCGCCGGGGTGGTGTCGGGGAGGACCCCTGGGCTTCCTGGCACAGTATGGTCTGGGACCTAACCTGTTGTTGGTCTGGGACCCCTCTCGTCGGCATATGGTAAACCTGTGTCGGCTTTGGAAATGCCTTGTCATGAAAGCTTGGAGGTCTCCCGACGTGGCTGATCCCCACGGGCTGGGTGATCCGGGTTAGTAATGTCGTGTGGGTAAAGTGTACCCCCTCTGCAGAGGTTAACAAACTGTTCGAACAGCCGTGCCCACGGTCATGGGCGGATGTGAGGTGATTCCTAGCATAGTTTGGTTTGACTACTGCTTGTGAAATTGCTGTGTGAAAAGGGGTTCGGTGTTTGAAAAATCTGTAGCTGATGGGATCAGCTAGGGCCGTTTGAAAAGTTGTTGGCCCGGGTGGCCGTTTGAAAAGTTGTTGGCCCGGGTGGCCGTTGAAAAAGCTGTTGATCGGGTGCCAACCTTGTTTAAATTCTAAAGACTGATACATTGCACATACTCCGACCGGACGAGACGCACTGTCTCATCCGTGTCGTTTGAGAAGCACTCACTTAGTTGCTTCAGAAAAGAGTTCAAATAAAATTAATTGCAAAAACACCAGCCTTTCCTTGAAGCCTGCATTAAACACTTACTTCCCATGGCTTGCCGAGTACTCCCGTACTCACCCTTGCTCTATATAAATAATCCCCCCCCCAGTTGCTGAAGAAGATGAAGCGGATCCTGCTGATGAGGAGTTCTTCCAGGAGCAAGCCGGCTACGATGAGTTTTAGGGTTTCGGCCTAGTTCCCAAGTCGCGCCTGTGTTGATTGGTCCAAGTCCTGGCTTCCGCTTTCCTTTTGTAATGCAGTTGTGAGCTCGGGATCTGTCCGCAGCCCAACATGACTGTACATCTACTCTATAATAAAGAGACCTCTGTTGCTGTGATATTCTGTCTCCCTGTGATACCAGCACTGTTTCCTGGGACTGGTATCGATTAACAGGTTAATTTGGAGCGTCACGGGCTAGTTCCGGTCGGGACTAGTTCGGGGCGTGACAATATGAGAGCATATTAGATTAGACCAGAGCCTATTGTAATTTATGGTTAAAAAGGAAAATAGAAGCACCAATGAGCATTTTGATTTAGGGATCGCAAGTTAATCACCATATTATAGTATTCTAAATTAGGCTCGAATAGCTATTAGAATAACACACTTTTTATTATTTACAGTTCTCCCTAGTTTCCATATAATGATCTCCAGCATGATTTCATATGTGGATCCATCACAGAAGAATAAATCAAGGCAATGGCAAAGGCCGCTAGACTAGATGTTTCTTACAGTCATGCGTCTAGCAGGATGGGTTGGCAGACAAGTAGTAACTGTAATTGGAAAAAGATAATCCTAAGGGTATACCAGAGGCTAAGCACGCTGTTCATACCTTTCACTGCAGCGGTGTGAAGATGAGTGACATTTCCATTTGAGCGAACTTGATGCAGATAAGCGCCATGATCAAGGAGGTATCTGATGCAGGCAGGCAGCTCCAGGGGTGTATAACCTAGCAACAAGCGCGCGCACACAGTTGAACAAATAAAAGCTCGTCGAGCCAAGCAAGCATCCAAGACCTGTGTTTTCAAGGGCCAAGTGAACTAATCGGGCATGATTACCCTGAGCAGTGTCAGGCGGTGGCGTCCATTTTGACCTCCTCGACCAAATACTGGTAGGCTGACACCTCATAGATGGTGAGTAAATAGCCTGTAGTCATCAGCTCAGATATGCTAGACAGCCTAATCTCCTTGTAATTTTGTTGCACGCAAAACTAATAACCATAAGCAAAATAATTATCTAGTGGCATGAGGCCAAATGTAATTAGATCCTTCTCTCAGGTAATTAACTGGCTACACAGAAATGTTTAGATCGATCCACATAGGAGATATGAAATGTAACCGATGAACAGAGGAAGACTGAAAAGAAGAGATGTCACCATAACTACAACTTGGCAACTCTTACTAATAGATGAGCAAAACATTCAATGGTGGTCCTGAACAGACATAATGCAACTAATGCTGACTTTCTGCAGTGATGGACACGAATGCAAAAACCTGTAATGGACAGGATCGGCAAATTTCATACAGAGGAATTGCCCATAATTGATTCCCTCCAAATATGCAGTGATGGAATCAAACATTCTGATGGCCACACAAGACAATAAAATTTCAATTCATTGGCAATATGAGATCAATCCTTAGAAATGTGTGCACTCTTGCATTGGTGATGGAACAACTTACTTATTTGACGAGGAAAACAGAATCATGTAACAGCTTAGGATGGTAAAGCCAAATTGATTAACATGGACCGAGAAGTGAAAGAGTAGCCAGATTCAACCGTACATACAGAAACAAAACAGATTATGACTAGAGTAAATCGTTTGTGTTATCTGACCATCGAGATGGGGGAATCTCAACTAAGAATACTAGAATTGTTCCAATCAGCAGCAATTGTAAAACTGTACTTCACTAGCATAAAACACATCCATTGACTCATTCATTCCAATACGATAGCTGGTTCAATTAGTATAGCAAGGTGTAATATCAGGAAAATATATAGCTCAAGTAGCAAAGCATGCAGTAGCAAATAAGATATGAGATGATAACACACACCAAGACCAGAGTCATTGGCGAGCAGACACTTCACTTAGGAAGGAAGGATAGGTGGTGGATCACACAGACAGACACAGGGACACGAAGATACTACTCCAGTAAGCAAGCAAGCGATATTACTTAGGGTAGATGGATCTTGCACCACAACACAGACAGGTTGCTACTTCTGCTCCTCCTCCTCCTCCTCCTCCTCGTCGGAGATCTCCGCCTCGTCGAACGCATAGCCATGTTTGAGGTACTGGTCGATGAGGGTCTGCTCGTAGGCGAACATCTTGCCATCGATGAACATTCTGAGGCGGTGGAGCTGGCGATTTGAGGCAGAACGTCGGGCCAGCTCCTCCTCGGTGCACTCCGGGTAGGTGTAGGGGTATCTCATCATCTGTTGGATAACTTCATTAGGCATCTTGTACTTGACCACCTTCTTCCTCTTCTTCTTCCCGGACGCGATGTCGGCCTCCTCCTCCGCCAAGGCCTTCTCGCGCTCCTCAATCCAGCACTCCATCGCCCCCGGGACATCCCTCGACACCCAGAGAGGCCTCGCCGCAATCGCCTCCTTCTTCTTCTTCAGGATCTCACTCCCCTCACACGGGATCGATGACTTCCTCCAATTCGGGAGGATCTTCTTCTTCTCGCCACCACTTGGGGACGCGGTCGCCTCCTCCTCCTTCACCCTCTTGATCCCGGCCACGGGCGCCTCGGCCTCCTGACGGTCACCATCCGCCATCGTCCGCGATGGAGCCCTAACAAGAGTTGTCCCTCTAGAGGAAGATGTCTAGATAACCTAGGAGCAGCAACAGATCCGGCAATGGCGAGGAGGAGAGGCAATGGCGCGCGCTGCGGCGGAAGAGGCGGATGAGAGCGAGCGGATCGGAAGGAACTTAACGGGCCAACGACCCGACTCCACTCGTGTCAGCCCTTTTATTGGAAGGAACGGCCCAATTCCGTTTTCAAGCCTTTTCAGCCCATCCCACCAATCAATACTTGTATCATCAAGCAAACCGGAAAGAGTTACTACCTCCATCCCAAAATATTTGACGCCGTTGACTTTTTTAAAAATGTTTGACCGTTCGTCTTATTCAAAAAAATTTAAGTAATTGTTAATTCTTTTTCTATCATTTGATTTATTGTTAAATATATTTTTATGTATACATATAGTTTTACACATATTACAAAAGTTTTTGAATAAGACGAATGATCAAAACATGTTTAAAAAAGTCAACGGTGTCAAACATTTAGGGAAGGAGGTAGTACAAGGGTGTTCTTGGTGACTTAAGAATTAAATAAAGGGTAATAATATCTTTACAAGGGTAAAACTATTCCTTTTGGAGTTCTTTTATCAGTAAGCCATATAAAGAATCAAATAAATCGCCTTGATTTCACACGAATAAATGCTGCTATTGCTTCTTGTTGCTGCGCTGCTTCCATTCGTTCACAGCCGCATCATAGAAAGACAATCATAGCAAAAAATTCATATGCAGACATGCAGCAAGCTCATGTTAGCAAATCATCAGACTCATAGTTCAATACGCTATTCTTTTTGTGCTCGATCGTATCAGAGAATCAGCATGGTACACTTGCTTATTCTGTATAATCATTTATGGTAATATTATATTCATGACTTGACATGTGTGCAGGCAGCTCATGTACAAACCAACCCAGCAGTTAAGCTTGGTGGTCCAATAGAGTGATGCTTAACAGTAAGCCTACATTCATCTCATTTTCCCCTTGCAAGAGATTTCAAGGTATTACGATTACTGAATGGCAAAAGTGCCAACTAGTTCCTCTTACACTTTGTCATCATGGAACCACCATCTGGTCTCCTTCGGCGACCTCCCATTGCGGCAATTCCTAACATAGCGGTCATTGTCTTGAGGGCGTTGCTGCAAACACCACATTATAGCAAGATACCTTTTAATGTTTTTGGTCAGCGAAAGAAAATGGGAAGGGTGTTAGTTATATATAATAACCTTTGCTGGTGAACTTGACAACATTGACAAAATGCTGATGCAGACCGAACTGACAGTCATTGCAGGTGACCAAGAATCATACAGTATATCTGCAGATATATGACCAGCAGCAAGCTGTTATTCTTAATGGCCATTATATTTATGCATAAAAACTGTATCTCATCTCTCTTTTGGTTCACAATCACAGAGAAATCATCATTACAAGGATCAAGAAGTAGTCCTGTTTCTATGGAGAAGGAACATTAAAAAAAAAAGGACAGATCAAATGCTCAAAGATGAAATCACGAGTCAGAGATTAAGGTGTCTCAGAAACATATTTTCCTGAATGAATGATTTTCAGCTGCTGCTGCACTGTATTTCAGAATCAGTGATCCAAGTTACTCAAATTCAATACTACACACACTCAACTACCAGCTGAGCAGTAAAGTTGCTCCAAAATTAACAACCCTTTGGCTCAAGCAGCTCATCTAGACTAGTTAGATAGTCGAAGTAACAGATTCAAGATGCTAATTGTTGTATATATAACTTAAAACATGAAAGCATGTCGCCGAGTCTTGGGGGACAAAAAATAGATTTGACTACCTCCGTTTGCCAAAGGATATAAGTGCTATGTTATTGCATACAGGTAGACAAGTCTACTGAAAACAGCTCAAATTTGGCAACAACTAATTATACAATAGCTTGTTTGCTTTAAGTTGTTGTGATTTGACCATTTAACATAATTTATGCATCCAACAGAGACAAGACACGGATACCATATGTTTCCATGTGAAGGGCAATGATGAAAGAACAAACTTTTCAGCACATCTACTTTTAAGTGTCTCACTTCATAAGCTGCCAAACTATAACAATCTATTGTTCCAATGCATTTGCAGCTATTTTAGTAAAGTGGAAATGGCAAGGTTATATTGGAAACATGAGGGCCAACATTATATTTGCACAATAGTTTAAAATATGAATAGAAGCATGCTATCATCCTAGTTTGTACTACTGTATAGATGTCTAATCCTCATTACCTTTCCAGGACATTTAAGAAAACACCCTCGACCACCCAGACACGAACCTAACTGACATGCATCCTAACTCCCTTCAAACAGTTCAAGGTAAGGAATGTTTTAATTCCCATTAGTATTATATTTTTACTAACTTTGGCACTCAACTAGAATCAAGAAATATATATATATCAGGCAAAAGAAATAACAGATAGAAGTATAAATCTTGTTTGTATTCTCTGCATCACAAATCAAAGCCTTTCAAGCACAACTGCAACTCTGTGTGATCACTACACAAGATAAGATTTAAACAAGAAATACTTACTAGAACGAATTACCAAAAAAAGCAAATGCATGCCACTCTGAAAGGAACCAAAAAGGAAGGCTGTACATATGTGCTATCATACCATTAGACTCGTAGCTAATTGTACAAGAAGACAAAAGGGTGATAAGAAGTTACGTAAACAGCTTATATAGATCAAATTTCAGAGGTGGAAGGAGAATTGAGGACAAGAAAAGAAGCAAAGGTGTTATCACTCAGGATTCAGTACCAAATAAACTACATAATTTTAAAGCTTCCCTCTGATGGCTAACAATCATAGAAGTAGAAGCACTGGTGACAGCTGTATTAATAGCGAGGAAACAAGACAAACCTCCAATATCTAGATAATAAGAAAACTTAGAAAGCAGAAGCAAGAAACAATGTTTACAACAAGGTCGTGAATTTCGTGATCCCATCAAGATTGTCTACTAACATAGTAAAAGAGAAATAGAATGAAAAGTTAAGTCGGGGCATCTCAATTGTACAGCTACTCTAGGAAGTGGAAAAGCACACTTGGCAAAGGTGGTGGCTTTCCCCTAACAGATGGAATCTTAGCACCTAACTGACAGCTAGATAGAACATCAGGTTAGGCAAAGAACATTCTCATACAACATGCAGTTAATCAACATGGAAGCCTAAACAAATATCTGCTAGAGAGAAGAGGCCGACATGAGGAACAACTTATTTTATTTTATTTTTGAGATGATAAGGAACAACTTTACCTAAACAGATGTGCCCGTTGCTGTAAATGTGTGGATGCATCGGCGCCGGGTTGAGAAAAATGACCTGGAATGAAAGAGTTAAATTAGTTTGCAACCAAATCGAATGCAGGGAACAGATGAGAAGAAACGAAAGGATTAATTAAAGGTTTCTATATGAGAAAGTAATCTGTTGTGAAAAGAAAGCTCACCTGAGGCGCCTCCATGGGATAATGCTCAGGGAAGTCGACCTGCAGCTGGTATGTCTCGCCGGCGTAGAGCGTGCCCGCCGCTCCGGTGACCTCGATTACCCACCTATTAGGCGAATCGTACGAATCCATCTCCACAGATTAACAACAATACTAATAATAAAAACCCACCAAAAATCCCCAAAATCAAGAACATATACAGTCAAGAAAAGAAAAGGAATCAATTGTAAGATGGGATCCCGCGGTTCATCCACAGGAGAAGAAACAAGAAATCAACCAGTAGAAGACAAGATGACGACCTTTGGAGGTTATCGGAGACCCTGTACTTGAACCCGGAGGGAGGGCTGACCTGCCACTCGGCGAGCTCCTTCTGCAGCCGATTGCAAGCGATCTTGCTCAGCGCCTGCGCGCAGGTACAAAAAAAAAGGGGGGGAAATTAGACCAAAACGTTCACAGATAGCGAGAATCAGACGGATTGGGGAGAGAGAGGAAGGAGTAGAATAATACCTTTCGGGAAGGAGATGAGGAGCTCGTCATGGCGTTGATTGATGATGATGGATGAGTCCTCTCCTCTCCTCTCCTCTCCTCTGCCGGGAAGGAGGGGAGTCGAACAAAGTCGAAGGAGAAGAAGAGGGGAGGAAGGGCGCTCGGGCTCGGTCGGCTATTCGCCTTCTCTTTTACGTCGGGTCGGCTACCTTTTCTTTCTTTTTTTTTCCTTTTGCATTATTATTATTATTCTTTGCATCATTTTCTAGTTTCTCTTTTACAAAGAATCCAATTCGCTCTGGCTTCTGACGTGTCATCTATCTCTCATGAAACCACGTCTAAAATCCTGCTAGTAATGGGTCTGTTCGGCCGTTGTGCTGCCGCAACTACAAATACAAAACAATGTTTTTGTTGGCCGCAGTACAGTAAAAAGAATTTGCTGTTGAACGGAGCCAATATGATACTATTTAGCAAAGACTATTGTATTTCTCTATATTACTGTTATTAGTGTCTAGAAAATAACCTCGGGTAATGCAATTCATGGATTTGATGTATAACTCGTGTTACAACAACATATAGAAATTAGTTACATTTTATATATATAACTATATTATCAGTAGATCTGTACCATGATTAAAATGATTTAGATCTTCTTTTTCATCTATATAGTGAATTTGATGCCTTCTTTTGTATCTAAAACATACAATATGGGGGTTGCTATCTGGTGCGCACGTCAGCTGGCACCCCACGCACGCATTTTCTTTTTCTTCTCGCTATCTTTTTCCCTATTTTGGTGCCTCTCCTCGCGCGTTTTCTTTTTTTCCCCCTTTTTCTGATTTTTTTTTATTGTTAGCACACATGTTTTCAAATTTTTAGGTAAAAGTTTTCAAATCTTAACTTGAAAGTTTTCCAATCTGAAGAAAGTTTCAATTATAGAGTTGAAAGTTTTCAAAATTTGACTTTAAAGTTTAAATTTTGAGTTAAAAGTTTTTCAAATTTTAACTTGAAAGTTCAAATTTCGAGTTTAAATTTTTCAAAATTTGAGTTTAGAGTTTTAAATTGTAAGTTGAAATTTGTAAAATTTATTAGGTATATGGCTTTTAACTTTTTAATAGAAAGTTCTAAATTTTATTTGAAAGTTTCTTACACGTATAGATTTCCTTCATTCTGTTAGTAAAAAAAAACCTTTCGAGAAAAAGGAAAATGTCACCTTAATTACATCTAAACTAGCTAGCAAGCTTAGTTACGTTAGATGTGCGCATCTCCCAGAAAATAAAAGAAGTCCTATAGCAAATGGTATTGAAACCGCGTGCGCACGATTTCGTTTGGCGGCGCGTATGCGCGGAACAGGAATCTCCTACAATATATGTTGCATTTACAGCCCTTATAGTCAAAAGAAGTCAGCTGAGCATCCTCGAATGTCAAATAGCAAATCTTGAAACCAAATAAATTTGTGCAGCTATTCTTTAACTGGTGTGAAAAAAAAATTTACATCTCTTGAAAATAGTCAAAATCAAAGTAGATGGTTTGGATGTCAAATTTGTATAGAAAGAAACCTCAATTAGTTCCTTTTTTTGGATTTTGGTAATTAAGAGGTAAGAAAAAAAAAGGACTTTGCATATATAGGACGACAGAAAAAAAAACAGTGAAGGGGACTATTAGAAAACAAAAGAGATGAACTTTGCATATATAGGAGTCACCATCAAGGCATACTATCATGGCCGAATTGTGTGCAAAGGGCGGAATAGCATATCAGGGCTTGCCCAATTCTGTTTGGAGTACAACATTACATTTCCAGTGCATTGCATCAACTTTCTCTAAAAACGCATGCCATCAACTTGATCAAACTGTTCCATGATGGTCGACAAATTGCCATATGCGGATATGCCCAATACAGAGGTCATTCTTGTTCATTCAGTACGTTATATCAAAATTCTGATTCGCTATACGGCTCTCAATATCCCAATTTATCACGCGTATGAATTATTCAGTCAGAACTGCTTTTCCACTCCCAGGTCCCAAGTAGTAGAATGAATTGTTTCGGAATTTGGACTAAGATTTTTTTAGAAAAATTGTGTAACAACTGCAGTTGCTGTTTTATTCGGCAGAGCAAAAGACAAAGGGATAGCCAAGCTACTATTCTGGACAGAAGAACTGTAATTCCAATATTAGTTGAGGCGAGGATAACGCACGCTTACGAATGGAGATAATTCGTCAAGAAAGAATATATTATAGCAAACTCCAAACAGAACCAAGAATATATTATACTAGCAAACTCCAAACAGAACCGAATGATTTTATTAATCCATCTCCCTCTCTAGTGTGCTAATCTGTTTTGCTGTTGATGCATTCGTACTAAATAGAATTCAGGTCGAAATCTAGAAAAAGAAAAGTACTAGTAATAAAGAAAAAATTAAGCAGGTATTTTCTCCGTCCACAGAAAACGAATCTAAAATCGGATGCGACATATTCTAATACGATGAATCTGAATAGATGTATATCTATATTCGGAGTACTAGAATGTATCATATCCTATACTGATTTGGTGAATGTATCATATCCTATACTGATTTGGTTTTTTACGTGACAGAGAAAGTAGGCCGTATCCTATACTAGATTGGTTTAGAATGTATCATATCCTATACTGATTTGGTTTTTTACGTGACAGAGAAAGTAGGCCGTATCCTATACTAGATTGGTTTTTTACGTGACAGAGGAAGTAGGCCGTAGGAAATTAAGGGTAGCTAGTTGGTGTCGGTGGGAAACCAGTATCGGTTGGTGAACCAGGCATGGTCGGCGACGACCTTGACGCCGTCGCTGTTGCGGTGCCACTCGTAGAAGGCGTGCGTCCGGTTGACGATCTGCAGCGTGGCGTGGCCGAAGCTGGCCTCCCGGAACACCGAGTAGTCCGGCTGCGGCCACCGGAAGTCGTCGGCGAGCCCCTCGATGTTCCCCCCGTCGCCGATGTTGATGTACACCGGCGCCGACCGGTTGAACACCGGCGTCGCCATCCCGTTGGCGATGTCGTACGCCACGTTCGACACCCGCCGCGTCCGCTCGTACGAGTGGACGTGCCCGGCGAGCACCACGTCGGCCTTGGCGTCGACGAGCCACCGCTCGAACTCCACGCGCATCGACTCCCCCTCCATGTAGTGGTATCCGTTGCTGCTGTACCACGGCGAGTGCACGCACACGATCAGCCATGGCGTCACCGCCCTGTCCACGCGCCTCAGCTCCCCCTCCAGCCACCTCCACTGCGGCGTGTACTTGCCGTACGCCGCGTACGACGCCAGCACGATCACGTGCGCCGACGCCATCCTCACCGAGTACCACAGCGGCCGCGTGCTCCCCGACGCCCCGAACGGCGTCGGGTACCTGTTCGTGAACGGCTTGAACGGCGTCGTCTCCCCCAGCTCCGGCGCGAAGTCCAGCTCGTGGTTCCCCGTCGTCCAGATCCACGGCTGGTACGCCACGCTCCGCTCCACGAACCGCGCCCACGTGTCCCACCGGTTGTTGTCGTGCCCCGGGTGGTTGTCCGCGTACGACAGGTCGCCGATGAACAGCACCGCGTCGCCGCCGCACGCCTCGTAGTGGCTCAGCGTGTCGTTGGAGTGGAACGTCTGCCCGAGGTCGCCGATGAGCCCGAACTTGTACGGCACGTCGGGCCCGGGCTTGGGCGGCGTCGTGAAGGAGAAGGACCTGGCGCTGGCGGTGTCGCCGGAGCCGACGGCGTAGTGGTACTTGGTGCCGTAGTCGAGGCCGGTGAGGGTGGCGTGGTGGATGAATCCCGACCGGTACTTGCGCCCGAAGGAGTAGCGCCGGAAGGTGCCATTGGCGGTGTGGGTGAGGTTGTCGGCGCGGAGGCCGTAGCGGACGACGTTGCTGTCGGGGAGCTTCGGCGTCACCCAGGAGACGGTCATGGCGCGGCCGGTCTGGTCGCCCAGCGTGATGTGGACCTGCTCCGGCGCGTTGAACCCGGGCGGCGGCCGGAACACGTCGGCGTCGATCGGCATGTCTGGGAGCGCCTGCAGGCTCCTCCGGTACGTGCTCGTGACGCCGCCGCGCGCCGCCGGGGACAAGAACGCCATCACCACCACCACCACGGCGAGCACGCACGCCGCCTCCATTACCATGGATGATCTAATCTAATCTAATGAATTTGTTGTGTTCTAGATGAGGAGTGAGTATATATATAGTGCAGATGGTGCATTTTTTCCACGATAATCGGGATCGATCACGCACGCATGCAACGGCATTCATCAACAACCTTCCCGCATTTCTCGAATTCCACTAGCTTAGCTAGTTGCAGGGATTGCCACTTGACGGAGGAGCAGCAAATAGATTAGTCCAAGTCCACATCGATCAGTTGGAGAGGAGGGGCATGCATGCTGCATTTTTTTCACGATAATCGGGTCACGCACTGGATCATGCAACGGCATTCACGAATACGATGGATGGAATGAACGATTCATCCATCAACAACCTTCCCGCGTTTCTCGAATTCCACTAGTTGCAGTTGCAGGGATTGCCGCTTGGCGCGTGCACACCGGCAACACGCACGTAGCCTGGGGGTGGGTTTTCTTTTTTCCCTTTCTTCACCACAGTAGATTTATTTTTTTTCCGGAGTTCTATTTTCTCTGTGGTTTTATTATCGCGTATACCGGTGGATTTTTTCCGTGGTTTTTTCCCTAAGACGAGTATATCTAACGTAACTAACATGTTAGTTTTAGATCACGATGGTAATTAAGATAATTTTTTTCTTTTTTTGGAAGATTTTTTTTAAGTAACAGATTGAAAACAAAATTTTGAAGTTAAAATTTGAAAACTTTCAACTTTTCATCTCAAATTTAAAAAACTTTCAATTAGGGTTTGAAAACTTTCAACTCGAGATTTTAAAAGCTTTCAACTCAATTTTGAAAACTTTCAACTTGAGATTTATTTTTTTAAAAGTTAAGATTTGATTCAAGTCAAGATTTAAAAACTTTCAATACAAAACATTTGAAAAACATGCGTGAAGATTAAAAAAGTAATAAAAAAGCGCAAAAAAAAGGAAAGCAAAAAAATTGCAGAAAAAAGGATTAAAAAGATTAAAATAATATTTTCTTCACCTTATACATAACATAAATAGCAACTTTCAAGAGAGAACTTTACAGATAAGAACTTGTTAGGTTGTTCTCCTTTTTCTCTGCATAAAGACTTTTTTTTCTCTTTTTGTTATCACTAAAATTTAGTAAAACTTCAGCTTAATTTTTTTTTATATATGGTGTCTCTGTTTGGAAAAGTAACAGGAAACTTAAGAATAGAGAAAAGGGAGACAACAATCAAATCAATCAAATAGAAGAAAATCTCTGTTCTGGATAATCTCACTGTTTATTTCCATTGAAGTACAAAAATTCTCAACTTTCCTTGAGAACTTTAGATGCAATCTCTTTTGTTACAAACAAAGCCACATGAAAAATATTCCAAAGAAACCAATCCTTTTGTGACTCCCTTTTAGATTGTACTACTCTCTTTGCTCCAAAATATAAACATTTTTAATTATATCCAATTTGGTAGCCAAATGTGTTGGCAAGTGTCCCATTTGGGGATTAATTATCTCACGGCTTAACAAGATAGACTCTGCTAGTAGTATTTGTTATTGCATAGTAGGAGTATTTATTATCCAAAGCTAAAGAAGAAGAAGAATGGCAATAGCATAGCAGTGATACAAATTAAGAAGTTTGAGATGGTTGGAGTCGATTAATAATTATACATCGTCGTTGGTGGGCATCCAGTAGCGGTTGGTGAGCCAGACGGCGTCGGCGACGGCCTTGGCGCCGTCGTGGTTGCGGTGCCACGCGTAGTGCGCGTGCGTCCGGTTCTTGATCTCCAGCGTGGCGTGGCCGAAGCTGGCCTCCCGGAACGCCGAGTAGGCCGGCTGCGGCACCGTGAAGTTGTTGGCGATCCCCTCGATGTTCCCCCCGTCGCCGATCGTGATGTACACCGGCGCGTCCACGTTCGCCGCCGGCGTCGCCTTGCCGTTCACGATGTTGTAGTCGATGTTCGCGAACCTCCGGCTGCGCTCGTACGAGTGGACGTGGCCGGCGAGCACCACGTCCACCTTGGCGTCGACGAGCCACCGCTCGAACTGGACGCGCATCGTCTCCCCCTCCATGTAGTGGTAGTTGTTGCTGTTGTACCACGGCGAGTGCATGAGCACGATGAGCCACGGGGTGAGCTTGCGGTCGACGCGGGTGGCGAGCTCCTCCTGCAGCCATGTCCACTGCGGCGTGTACTTGCCGTAGGCGGAGTAGGAGGCCAGCACGATGACGTGCGCGGAGGCGATCTTGACGGAGTACCAGAACGGCTCCGTGCTGCCGGCGGCGCGGTACGGCGTCGGGTACCGGTGGGTGAAGGGCTTGAAGGGGACCGTCTCGCCCAGCTCCGGCGCGTAGTCCAGCTCGTGGTTGCCGGCGGTCCAGATCCATGGCTGGTACGCGACGCTGCGCTCGACGAAGCGCGCCCACGTGTCCCAGCGGTTGTTGTCGTGGAGAGGGTAGTTGTCGGCGTAGGAGAGGTCGCCGACGAAGAGGACGGCGTCGCCGCCGTTGGCCTCGTAGTGCGCCAGCGTGCTGTTCGAGTCGAACGTCTGCCCGAGGTCACCTGCGTGCACTCATCCATTTCATTTCATTAATTTAGGGCCTGTTTAGTTCCAAACAATTTTTTTTAAATGTTTGGACACATATAAAGAGTATTAAATATAAAAAAAAACCAATATCACAGTTCGGCAGGAAATTATGAGACGAATCTTTTAAGCCTAATCGCGTCATGATTTGACAATGTGGTGCTACAGTAAACATTTACGAATGACATGTTAATTAGGCTTGATAAATTCATGTCGCAGTTTTCTGACAGAATCTATAATTTATTTTATTATTAGACTATGTTTAATAAAATATATGTCCGTATATCCGATGTTCTGATGTGACATGTAGAGATTTTTTTTTGCCAACTAAACAGGTCCTTCGTCGTTTGTATTTGTACTAAGTACTACATTTGACAGAACTCGTACAGTTGTTTTTTTTCCAAAAAAGTCAACTAACATACATTAGTAACACGCTGAAACGGTTACTGCGAGGTAGGGGAGTACTCCTACTAATACTATTTTGTCAAATGAACATATTTGATATTTTAAAGCAATTTATGAGTGTGTTTAGTTCCTGAAAAAAAATTAAAAGTTTATGAGTGTAGGAAAGTTTTGGATGTGATATGATGTAATGGAAAGTTGAAAGTTTAGAGTAGTTGGGGACTTGGGGGTGAACTAAACACGGCCTATATGTAGAAATTTTTTACACGAAACAAAATGTTTAATAGTTTTTTCCGTTAGCATGTATTTAAAACTATTAAATAGTCATGCAAAACTTTCTATATAAAAATTGCATTAAAATGTCAAATATATCCATTTGAAAATTTTATAATAATTAAAATTTAATTAATTATATAATAATGACCTTTTGTTTTATGTGCGTTAACGTAATCTACATCTTCATTGGTTTCAAATACCATACGATCATCACAGTCAAATGGTCATCAATTCCAGCTGCGTACATTTTTGGTTTTTTTGATGACTTTGAAGCATGTATAGTCAACACGGCTGACCTACTTGATTGAGTACGGTACTGTAGGAGTACTCGAGAGGAAATTCAGACTTGAGTAATGACACTGACTGACGTTGGGATGAGGGCGGTTTGCAGCGACTTTGGAGTCTCCCGATATATATAATTAATGCAAAAACTTGACAAGAAACCATTCAACATTGAATGCAACGGATTACTGTGAGACTAAACCTAACCTAAATCCTATCGAACCAGTTTTTGTTTGCATATGTGATCGATCTACTTTGTTCACAACTCCTAATGACTTGTTTAAATTGATGTGATGAGATGATGAACTGAAACGAACGAAATGGTGATGAATTCATGGCGTAATGTTACTCACCGATGAGGCCGAACTTGAAGGGGGCGTCGGGAGCGGGCTTGGGCGGCGTGGTGAAGGAGAAGGTACGGACGGTGTGATCGAAGCCCATGGCGTAGTAGTACTTGGTGGCGTGGGTGAGGCCGGTGAGGGTGCAGTGGTGGATGAAGCCGGAGGTGTAGTTGAAGTAGTCGTACCTCGTGTGGCTCCCCTCCGCCGCGCGGTCCAGCTTCTCCGGCGAGCTCCCGTACCTGACCGTGTTGCTCCCCAGCTCGTTCGCCGTCACCCACGACACCGTCATCGCCGTCCCCGTCTGGTCCCCCAGCGTGATGTGCACCTGATGACAAAGAAAGAGATGAGAGATGGTCGCGCGTTGTGTGGTTGTGGAGACTGAAGAAGACTGAACCTGCTGCGGAGCATTGTAGCCCGGCGGCACGCGGAAGACGTCGGCGTCGAGCGGCATGTCCACCGTCGCCTCCAGCTTCCGCCGGTACTCGCTCGTCACCCCGGCGCCGGCGCCGGCGCACGTCCACGTCGCCGCGGCGAGGAGGAGGAGGAGGAGGTGAGCTCCCCACCGCAGCATCCCCATGGTGACTGTGAGCTAGCCGCACTCTGCTTCTTGTGCTACTCTGTTTCGTTGGACAAGCAAGAAAGGATACATCTCTTAAATAGGAGAGTGTTGCGTGCATCTTAATGTTGACTTGAACTAATCTGAATGGTTTGTGGGGAATATCCATAGATGGTGCCATTAGACCGTGATTAGATTAGGAGAGGGTTTAGTTGGAGATGCGGATCAATCTTGGAGATTAAGGACTTGCAAGTTGACTTTGAACACAAGTACTCTTCTATCCCTACTGATTTATTCTTCGATTCGCAGCATGTACAACCAACCAAGCAAGGGAGGGACAAACAAATCTCACATCGCTTTGCCTTGCCTTCTACTGATTTGTATGGGCGCCTACTTTGACTGACAAAACACACCACCAATTCACAAAAGATTGCGACATGTGTGCTGGCATTGCAGGCTTGCAGTTCTTCTTTGTCGAAACATCACCCGTGGATATCGTTTTAAATGATGTAATGTGAACTGCTTATCATATGCCAGTATATTCCAGATGATATTAAGCATAACACAATTTATATTTGTTCCGTTAAGATATGTTAAAGATATCATATCATTCAGACCTCTTCAACAAAGGAAACTTAGCTCTCTACTTTTTTACTAGTAGAATTCAGTATAATGCACATACTGTTACTTGCCCATCCATGTATCACTCGCTACATCTTTGAAACACAGTGGTGGCCTTGAAGAAAAAGCTAGCTAGGAGATCGCAATTTCACAACTTGATCTAGCCAAAAGCATGCCACAGAGAAGCATGCTGCCACCTTTTGGTCGATTTGGTAACCACTTGTTCACAGATTTGCCCCCAAAATGATTGCCTCATATCGTTTTATGTGCTGCACTAGACAGCAGATTCACCTTTATAGATTCTACTTTTGTTTAATTTCTGTGTAAAACCGTTAGTGCCAGTAACTGACAGCATCATTCAGAGGGTTGATCCGAGTTAAAATACCACAATTGCTCTTCCCTTTTGTGAAATCTGAATAAGCTACCACCCATTCATCTTTTTTTTTTTTTGAAAACCGACCACCCATTCATCTTAACTTTCTGAACTCTGAATTAGGAGCAGTCTAGCTACTTTCATTCCCTGAATCAACTAGCATATAGTATAAGTTTTCTGAATAATGCCATAAAATTTGGCAGTGGCAATGGCAGGTCGCGTGTCAAGCTCACTGGCTATCGGCGTCGTGGACGGGCAAGCTTTGACTCGAATAAGTAATGCCTAAATTTTCTTTAGTTCGCATTGTACTAACTTGTAATCAACAGAAATAAAGTTGTTGCCCTGCTTGACCTGGTATTATCATGAGGCTTTCACATGATGCATGTATCTTAATTGAGAGGAGAAGAAGAAGAGAAAGATAAGGAGAAGATGACCTCTCGATGGCAACTAGTACTAGTAGCTCACTACTAGCTAAGGCCCCTTTCATTCAAAGGAAATGGGAAACTATTCTAATTCCTCGAGGGGATGTTCCTCGTTTACCTAAAAACCATCTAAACGGTTATGAAAAATTCTAGAAAAATTTGACAACATTCATACAATACATATATACAACTCCACAAAATCTTAAGTCCAAACTCAACTCACACGTCAAAATATAAAAAAGACAAATTCAGCATATAAATAGTAGCGTACTGTTTATATCTAAATTTGTCTTTTTTGTTTCTCGACGTGTAAATCGAATTTGAACTTGAATTTTGGTGGATTAGTAGGTATCATTATACTCTACATTGTCAATTTTTTTCAGAATTTTTCACAACTATTTACATCGAATTTAAAAGAAAAAGATATACGATGGGATATCCCCTCGAGGGATTAGAATCCGCTCCCAAAGGAAATTCATAGGAATTTTAAAGGATTTCATTCCTATAGGAATTTTTCCTATATAGCCCTTTGAATTAAAGAAATGAATCATATGTAATCCCATAAAATTTCTATGGAATGCCACTTCCCATGCAAGTTTGGAGAAAATTTAGCATGAGGTTCTACCTCATGTTAAGAATACTTTGAGTCTTTATCTCTCCTCAAATTCCTGTGTTTTTCCTACGACTCAATCAAACGGTCATTCCTATATTTTTCCTGTGTTTTACAATCCTCTGTTTTACACTTGTATTCCTATCTGAATCTTATGTTTTTTCTACTCCTCTGTTTTTTCATTCCTATGATTCAAAAAGGCCCTAACCCTTTCATCAATAATGTCAGTTCAGTGCTTGCTTGTGTCGATTCTGCCTAGTGCGACCACCGTTAAGTTTTGGCTAACCACACATGATATATATTCAAGACTCCCTCATGCCCCTCAAATGTTCGATTCTTTTTTACTTTTGTTAGTGAACTGACTCGATCCATCTGAATGACTGGAACCACTCATTCAGTCAGTCATTCATTCTGCTCGGCTCATTTGATGTTCGTACGGAAAATCCGGATTCGTAAATTTGATATTCCAGTGTTTATGAAGTACCTTTGAGTGAGAGGCTAGCGTGAAAGGTATTGGCATCTTGAACATGTTCTTTTCAGCTGAGAAAAAGCAGCTAGCGATGGAGAAAGAAACAGCTCGCAGTGGCTCTACATGTGAGGTGTGAGTCGCCCGAAAAGATTGATCTTTTTTTTCTTCTCAGTCCAATAGTCCATGGCAGAGGATTATATTCCGCATGACAATGATTGCGCCAGAGACTGAAAGCGATCTTGGGGTATGAATCGAGTCGAGTCGAGTCGGTCGGATTTCAACTAGCTAAGATCGATGATATATAATTGGCCTGCAAACTGCAGATGTGTATATATATATTCAGATATATTTTCAGAGGAAGCAGCAGGCAGTGCTCTGTGCTCCTCCATCGATAGATATATCCTGCCTCCTCTTTATTCAGAAAACAGCAGCAGCAGGAAGAGATTACAGTAAACTGTTACTACTTACACACCTAATGGTATTGATTGGCACGATTATATATATAGTTATTATAAAATCACACGTACGTACGTGTACAAAATCACACTAGGTAGGCAGGCATGGACGACGATGAAGAGGAAGCGATGGATGGATGCGAATGAATGAATCATCCATAATAATGGCGCTTGGTGGGGGTGGGGGTGGAGTCGTCGTGGTTGGGCATGTGGAAGCGGTTGGTGAACCAGACGGCGTCGGCGGCGACCTTGGCGCCGTCGTCGTTGCGGTACCAGGCGTAGTAGGCGTGCGTCCGGTTCTTGATGTCCAGCACCGCGTGGCCGAAGCTGTCCTCCCGGAACGCCGAGTAGGGCGGCTGCGGCCACGTCATCTCGTCGGCGAGCCCCTCGATGTTGCCGCCGTCGCCGATGGTCACGTAGACGGGCGCCCGGCGGTCGCGCACCGGCGTGCACAGCCCGTCGGTGATGTTGTACCTGATGTTGGAGACGCGGAAGCTGCGCTCGTAGGCGTGGACATGGCCGGCGAAGACGAGGTCCACCCTGGCGTCCACCGCCATCTTCTCCAACTGGGCACGCATCGACTCCCCCTCCATGTAGTGGAAGTTGTTGCTGTTGTACCACGGCGAGTGCGACGCCATGATCAGCCACGGCGTCTCGCTCCGGTTAACCCGCCCCAGCTCCGCCTCCAGCCACTTCCACTGCGGCGTGTACTTGGCGAACGCGGAGTAGGAGGAGAGCACGATGATGTGCACCGACGCCAGCTTCACCGAGTACCAGTACGGCTCCGGCGACGCGCTGGCGAGGTGCGGCGTCGGGTAGCGGTGGGTGAAGGGCTTGAACGGCTTCGTCTCCCCCAGCTCCGGGGCGTAGTCGATCTCGTGGTTGCCAGCCACCCAGATCCATGGCTGGTACGCCACGCTGCGCTCCGAGAAGCGGCCCCACGTGTCCCACCGGTTGTTGTCGTGGAGCGGGTACTTGTCGGCGTAGGAGAGGTCGCCCATGAAGAGGACGGCGTCGCCGCCGGAGGCCTCGTAGTGGGTGAGGGTGGCGTTGGAGTCGAAGGTCTGCCCGATGTCGCCGATGAGCCCCAGCCGGAAGGCCACGTCGGGACCCGGCCGAGGCGGCGTCGTGAACCAGAAGCTGCGCACCGTGAACCCGAAACCCATGGCGTAATAGTACTTTACGCCATACTGCGTCCCAAAGCGTAATTAATAATTCCACTCTAATTAATTAATTAATCCATATACATATAATGTTCAGCTAATTATGTCAGCTTATTGGACACTTGCATCTGATATTTTTCTTGACATGAATGTACGCTTGCATATAAATATTTTTCTAATTTATTTTTAGGTGGTACTTCCTCCGTTTCATAATTTAAGTCATTCTAGTATTGTCCATGTTCATATAGATGTTAATGAATCTAGACATATATATGTGGCTAGATTCATTAGCATCTATATGAACGTGGACAATGCTAGAATGACTTACATTACGAAACGGAGGGAGTACTTCATTTTGCCTTGAGGCAGGTACTGCACATACATCTACATATGCCTGTCCAATATCCACTTGTTTGATGCCAATAGTTTTTTTTGGAAGAAACGCCAATAATTTATTTACCTATCATATTTTGATAGTTCATATTAATATATTAACTTTGCAAACAAAATTAATTAATAGGGCCACTCCATTCGATCCGCTTGCTTGAGAATGTATAAATGTTTGGAAACATCCAGTATATCGTTCGACTGATCAAGACACTGCACCACTGTTCGATCCAGTATATATTTCATAGCTAATGGAGCATTTCTTTATGAACATGGTCTCTAAATATTTCTGGAGTTTTAGGAGAAATTAAGATTGAGGTAAAATTACTTTTATACCATATATATTTTTCATCACCTGATTGGTTGATATATGGAGTCGGTGGGTAAATACTTATATAAAAATTTCAATTACTAGTTAGAAATACTTATACATATGTGAACAGGAGCATTACGGAAATTTTCCTCAATTACATTTTCTGGTAGACTTGTGACTTGTCAGAGTTTGATAATATATTTTTGTCAATAGAACAGTAATATTCATAATATATAGCTCTATCGTTTGTTTTTCAGCTTATAAGTTGTAACCAAAATTTATAATTTAAATCCTAGTTTATTTTTATTGTTGTTTTTAAGGTGTTAAGAACATATGTACAAAAGTTTTACTTATAAATTATATATTAATGTTAATAAGCGTTACGGTTTATAATCAATAATATAAAAGTTGTTCTTTTCTCCAACAAAAGTTAGGACAAACTCTTGGATTTTCGTGGCATGCTTTTCGAACTGTTAAACGGTGTGTTTCGTACGAAAACTTTATATATGAAAGTTGTTCTAAAATATCAGATTGGTCCATTTTTCAAGTTTGTAATAATTAAAACTCAATTAATCACACGTTATTATCATCTCGTTTTATATGAAACACTTAATCTTTATCTTTATCTTCATCTTCGGGAGATTCAAACACCACCGTAGTCTGGAGGTGAAACGGTTGGGGTGGAACAAGTGTGTGTGGGGGGTAAACTGGTGATATATACCTGGAGGTTGGTGAGGGCACTACAAGAAAAATTAGCTATTGCCACGAAAGTATTACCATGAAAAATAATTGGTGGCAATATATCATACTATTGCCACGATAAAACTTTTCGTGGCAAATAAGTATATTCTGTTGCAACGATGTATAATCGTTGTAATATCTTTTATTTTCGTTGCAACAAAAATAAGTTATCACCACAAATAAAATATCGTTGCAATAAAAACTAAGCTATCACCACAAAAAAAATATCGGTGCAACGTACAAGCCCTATTGCCACGACTTCGATTTTTGTGGCAATAAGCACACAATATTTGCCACGACTCAGCCGAACCTCCCAAAATTTAGCGCGAAATATTTCTGTGTTTCGCGGTTTTGGGCGCGTGAAAAGATCGATTAACTCCCGAAAAAGTTAGTTCAGTTATTAGTACTATTTATCAATCTAATCTATTCCATTCACACGGCTGGGCAGTGCTCCCGTGACTTCCAAAGTCTCACGGAGGAGCAGCGCCTGGTGATTTCACCGCGACGGTGCCGCCGTCAACCGCGTCACGAGGAATTCCTCCACTCCGTTCAGTGATTCAGCTTTCAGCCTTCAGGTATCCTCCGTTTTCATCCCCTCATCCTCCTCGAATACACAATTTCTTTTTTCACGGTCTAGCCAAATTTCCCAATCCGTCGGCGCTCACCGTCTTCTGTGCCGCCTCACTTGCGCCGGCGACCGGATGACGCCTGCATCCCCTCCAATTCATCTTCCTCATCCCGATCTGATCCTCCAGCCCTAGTTCCACAAGCAACATGCCGGAGATGTGTGCGGGAGGGATCCAAGCGAGGTGCCTGGCTAGAGGCGCCACATCCGCCGGGGAAGACGAGGGTTCGCTGGGGAAGACGAGGGTTCAGTCAACGCATGAGAGAGCCACTACAATGGAAGGATGCGAGGGTACACAGGGTCGGCTTCGGCCCCGGCGTCGACGAGGAAGCGGAGCCGGAGGATGTCGCTTGCTGCAGATGGGGGGGTCGGCCGCGGCGCCATCGATGGAAGTTGAACGCAGCGCCGCCGCCGTCGATGGAAGCCGAGCGCAGCGCTGCCGTTGACGGAAGCCGGGTGTATCGTCGGATGCCGAATATGCCGCGTCGCGCCGCTGCCGCCGCCGCCGCTGGGCGTAGCACTGCCTCCACCGCCGGACGCCCTATGCCATCGCCACCACACTACCACGTAGGCCAGGGCACAAAGCTGCCATCCAATGGGTTGTGGAGGTAATTAAATTGAGTTATTGGAGAAGATAGAGAGAAATCAGACTGGAAGACATGATTTATTTTTTTTACTAGTGCTATTGATTTCCCAGGCATAAATTCATATTATTTTTGTATACATATATAGACGTATCCCGTATCCATGTTTTTCAGAAAATGATGTATCCTATCCATATCCGTATCCCTGTATCTCGGTAACATAGAGCAAAGGATGTTGCTTGCTGCAGATGGGGTGACGGCCGCAGCGGCAGCGACAGTGAGTAGTTTAGAACTTCAGATTAGCTATCTTAGTAGGCAAGCAGAGCAGGCAGGGCGAGCATTGCTAGCGTAGAATAGCTCAGATGAGTTATGTTTGTTTCTGAATTTCTGTCTTTGTTTCTGAATTTCTGTCTCCCACAAGGTTACCTTGGTTATACTGCACAATATCCAAATTTGCTATACACGGTCTCTCATATTTATTAATTTCTTCAGTTTGTCCAATTTCTCATATGAATTTTGAAAAATAAGAAACACCTTCCATGGGAATACCAATATATCTGTTACTGTCCAATGTCTATTTTTCAGCTCAAATCCTCATGATTTTGTTTAGTTCTAATTTATCTGTTCATATCTTTGTACAGGAATATTTTTTCTGGTCAGCCTACAGAGACAAGTTCTGGCAAGGTGAGTTTATGTTCACACAGTTTCTCCATTTTCCTTAAGATCATAAAGTGCCAACCATATTTTCCTTGTTTTTTTTTCATTAAATGGGTGGTTTGATACTATTAGTAATATTGTATAGTGATAAGCAGGAAGCATGTCAGTAGATAAGAGTTGGATGCGCATGAGTAGGGCAACTGCAGAGTGGCAAAAAGGGTTGCAGGAATTTTTAAATTTTGCATTTCAAGATGATAATCCTGGGGATAATGCCCCCTGTCCATGTAGAAGATGCCTTAATGTGGTACACAAAACACGCTCCGAAGTGCAAAGTGACTTGCTAAGGAATGGATTCGATGAAAGTTACATACAGTGGGTTTACCACGGTGAAGATTCAGATGATGACAATGTCACGGGAAGATTCAGAAGAACGTAAGGAAAGGGAAATGCTACGGGAGGATATTCTCAAAATGATTACTACGCAAAGCGTAGCATCGGAACAACAGGTAATGATTGCCAAAATGTTCACATTCACCAATATTTGATATCTTATATATGTCAAATGTGGAATCATAATATATATATTTCTTGTTTTATGGTGTGAAGTCTGATCTGGCAATAGATTGTCCAACTGAGAATAGAGAACCACATGACACAACAAAGAAGGCTCGAAGCATTCAGAACAACACAGTTGTGAAAGCACTTTTTAACAGCGCTAATTTGCAAGGAACAACAAGTACTACCCGGCAAAATATTTCTTCACAACATCTTAGGAATGTTGCTAGAAATTTTGTACGGTCCCGAACTGATCAGGTAATTACAAATCTTCAGCAAGCTGCTATGTTGAAATGATCTTTTGCAAAAAATTTTACAATATGTTTTCCTGCTCATGGTCTGTTTGTAAAAAAAATAATTTCTTATTGTGTATGGCCAAATCCTGTAACAGGCCAGAGGAGAAAATGGAAGAATGAATGAAAGAAATATCTAAATCAGCTCGGGGTTTGGTGTAGCATCCAGGTAATGATCTGGTACTTTTGCTACTTAACTCATTGGATTGTATTAGTATTTGGCACGTCCCCTTTGCTGACAAAAACAGTTGCCTGTTTAGTTTATTAGTATATGGGGCATCTAAGCTTCTGTTACTGCCCCATAGGCCTTTGTTTTGTTTATCTGAGCTAACTAAGATAAGCATGCATGCCATATAAATGATTAGCAACACAGTACTATATATAGCCACCACATATGTAACAAAGCATATATATTTCAGTGGGTCTCACAAGTCAGTAAATAACAGGGGCATGGCTTAAAAAATGTCAGATATAGTGAGCACTAATCACATTTGTTTATGTTTCCATCAATCCAAAGAACACACATGTCCATACAGTGGCATGATAGTTATGGCATATGACTTCTAACTCAATTTAATCATGTTAGATACTAAAATTAGTTGCACTGCAGACTCTGGCAATGTCCTTTATTTGAAGAAATTATGAAGTTTTGGTAACTATACATGCTAGCAGAAAACTAGATAAAATAGCTCTGCATTTTACATGGTGACTTTCTTTACTTTAAATACGACTTGTAACTATATGTCCATACATTTGTACAGGAGGAACAATCAACTCTGTTACTGTTGAATGGCTGGAGCAAACCACGACAAAATCAAACAAGTGATGGCTAGAAAAGCTAGTTTCGACAACAATGTTACAAACTCATTAGTTTCAGAACTTTTAGTTTTATCAGACAACTTGTATTTCAGCATTTGGAAATTTAACATACTCATATTGTCATCATTACTTTGGGTATCTGAAATATATTATGTCTTATTCGCGGAAATATCAGACATCATAATTCTTGTGCGCATGAGTTGCAAGGGTTTTGCCATTTAACATATATTTCTACTCATGTTGCAATAGTACCAAATGATCCATCCAATTACTGATGTAACACAATTTCTTTTCTATAAAAGCTAGAAGAAATTCATTTCATTGTAATAATACTTATTGCCACAAAAATATTTTAGTGGCAATAACCCATATGATATATTGCCACGATTAATGCTATGTGGCAATAACATATATTAGATATTGCAACGAAACTATTTTGTGGCAAGCACAACTAATGCCACGCACGAAGTGGTGGCAATAATTATTTGTTGCAACGATGTTAAGTGTTGCAATATGTTTTTTTGCCACGATTATTTTGTGGCATTATCAAAGTTTGTTGCCACTAGATAAAAATTGTTGCAATAACCTATTGCTACTGTTTCTATTGCCACGGCTAGCAACGGTTTTAAAATGGTGGCAATATGTATCTATTGCCACGATTTTTTTCGTGGCAACAAATCATTTTCCTAGTAGTGGGGTGCAGTGGTGGATGAAGCCGGAGGTGTAATTGTAGTACGTGTAGGTGGTGACGGTGGCGTCGGCGGCCATGTCGAGCTTGTCCATGGCGAGGCCGTACAAGACGGTGCTGTTGCCGGCCTCCTCCATGGTCACCCACGACACCGTCATGGCCGTCCCCGTCTGGTCGCCCAGCGTTATGTGCACCTGCTGCGGCGCGTTCCTCCCCGCCGGCTCCGCGAACACGTCGGCGTCCAGTGGCATGTCCACCATGTCCGCCGCCTTCTTCTTCGGCCGCCGGTACACGCTCGTCGTCCCCGGACACCGCATCGCCTCCGCCGCCGTCGCCACAATCAGGACGACCACCACAACAATAATGCTGCTGCTGCAGAGGCGAGCCCCCATGGCCATTGCTGCAGCTAGCTAGAGCTAATTAAGCTCGAGCTCAGTACGTAGCTAGCTATCCAGACGATGGCGCGTTTAAGTAGAGGAGGGGCACAGTGCAAGTAGCAGCTAGACACCGTACGTACCGTGGATTATTATTAAAACCACGTGCTGTAATAGCGACACCATTGATGAGATGAGATTGACATTGCATCCATCGTACTCTCATCTTCTGCATATTATTGAGATTGGGCTGCAGGAGATCCATATATACGATATCCTCGTCATCATCTTCATCGTCGATCGATCGACGGTCGGCTACAGTACTACACACACGATCGAGGTCACGATTAATTTTGTACCACATTATTCGTGTTTGTGATAATTAATTCACTGACGACAGAGCTAGTGACATGTCTGTCCGTTTCGTTTCGGATCATCCATTATTTTGTCTGTTTTCACACGCTGTACCCATCCAAGCTAGGGTCTTGAGATTAACTTACACCTTACTTTGCACTGCACATTTTGCAACAACTACCAGCTGAAGAACAAAACGGGTGTGTGTAACAATGTATACGGACAAGACGCAACTGTCGTCTGTCCATTTCAGTGACTTGGTACTCCTATATACTAGTGGTACATTTTATAGTACTAGTAAAGCTACAAACAAACGTGTAAAAACATATGCCACTCGATTCTTTCATTAAAAAAAATATCATGTTGTGCAATACTATAATGAACACTTCATTGATGTTTCTCTCCCTCCAGCCTCCACCGATCTAGGGCTCTTTGGAACACTACAGGTTCTGATTTCTGAAAAGGTACAGGATTAAAGTGTCATATCGCTTCAAATCCATTAGATTGAAAACTTACAAGAAAATTAAGCAATGACCGTTTAAATGGGGCGTGGGAATCATATAAGGGCTCCTTTGGCAGCCCGGGATCCCACCGGGATCCCAGCCCATTCCCTGGGAGAAAGGCCTGCAGGGGAAATTGTCACGGGTTTTATTCCATGTCCATTTGGAAGCCCACGAGGCAGGGATTTCCCGGCCCAATCCACGGGGAAACCCTAGGGAAAGGTCCCCGACCTTCGGAGGTTGGGAATTTTTGCTCTCTCGATCCGCCACTGCTTCTCGCTCGCGCAACCGGAGTCGCTTCTCTCTCGCGCGAACAACAGCGGGCGCCGCCGCGCCTCCTTCTCCGGCGAGACGCGCCACCGCCGGGACTCCTCCTCCGGCGAGAAGGGTAAGCCCTTCTCCTTATTCCCATCCTCTCCTCCTCCTGGGTTTCCGTTCTCCTCCTCCTCTAGGGTTTCCGCCTCCTCTAGTTAGCTCCCAATCTCGCTCTCCGGTCTCAGCGCTTGTATCGCAGGCACCGACGCGTGGGCGCGGCGGGTGGCACCGCGGCAGCCGGTGCAACGACGACGAGGCGGCGAGCCGGCAGCGCGGGCACACGGCTCCAAGCAGGCGGGGACAGGGGGGATCCAAGGCGGCGCGACTCACCGGTAGAGGAGGCGCTGAGGCGCAGATCCGCCTCCTCCTCCTCCTCGCTGCGCGACGCCCGCCGGCGGTTGCCCGGCTAGGTTTGTGCGTGCCCTTGTAGCTGCTGCTTGATTCTTGGGGGTTCGTTCAGTACTTCAGTTTTCTTGGTGTATGTATGGCATGTTTCTTGATTTGGTTTGGGAGAGTTGTAATCTGTTCTCCTGTTCTTTCTAATACATTGTGATATTGTACCCTGCAGTAGCATTTCATTTTGTTATGGAAGCGATTCAGAAGGGGATATGGGTGGGCGTATGGTGCTCTTGTTTTAGATCATGAATGAGTTTTGGTAAGATGATGTTCTAATTTGATGGAGTAGGTTGTGCTCTGGTTTTTTCTGCAGTGTAATTATCATGCTTAGTGTAGTCTAAATATGTGAGATCAATGTGCCAATCCCAAGAAATGAGGAATTATCACACATGCAGTGAGGATCATTCAACTAGTGAGGTATATGAGAAATTTTAGTCTGCAAACCAGTAACAGTTTTTTGTAGTTAATTAGAGATGCAGTTCTTTTAGTTGGATGCTGTCAGCTCTGTTAACCTAGAGGTAGATCTCAGTACTGGTTGAGCTGCTAGCATCAAGTTTTTTGTTTTTTCTGGAGGTATTTTTTAGTCTGATCCATTCTTGTAGTCTCTGTCAGGGAACTGTAGAATTAGTGGTCAATTTAGCATACATGTTGGGACTAAATAAATGGTAACAATCATATTTTTGATAGGAACTCATACTTACTACAAAATGAAGTCTTTTATGCTCTATACTTATACATTAGTCCAAACTTTAGTTTCATGTCATGTATCACTAGCAGAAAATGAGCAAGGTGGCATTGTGCATTCAAAAAAACACAAGCTTTGGCAGCAACCTATATACAAAGACACGCACACACAGATGTTTCAATCTCCTCTCTCTCACTCACTGCACAATACACTGGCCAAACAAAGTGACCTAGTAGTACCGATTAATTAAAACAACAACTACTACTACTACTTTTTTTTCCTTATCATGTCCATAATGATAATTCATAATTGTGCTCTTGCATTCTTCCTCTTGCCAGGATTCAATTTGAATTGCATGCTCAACTTACTTTCAAATATGGACTTGAAATAGAGTATTGTTGGAAAACTATCAATACAAAAACATGGACTTCAAATGTGTTTGATTTAAAAATAATGGTGTGTATCTGCATGTAGGATGTTTGATCTAAAAAGAAAGTGCTTATACCAAGAGTTTGTTTACGCTGATGTAGCTGACAATTGCAATATGTTGGTTGATGTGCATGCATTTTTTTCCTAAGCTAGTATCAATGGCCATCCTTCAAATTTGATTGCTGAAGTATCACTATTTTATATTTATTACTTAAATTTCAGATTATCTTTTTCATCCTGACAGATTTATTAGAATATATGAAGATTTGTTGAAGAGATGATGAAGAAGATAGAAGAGATAAAGATTTAAATGGACCCATGTCTCATTCTTGATCAAGACATTTGTGGATATAAATATAATGTACAGTTCTATATTTGTGGATGCAAGGATGATTCCAAAGATTTTAAATTTTGTATGATATGGATGATTCTAAAGTTTAACTTATGTCATGTCACGAAGTTGGTTTCCACATAAACTCACCTATATTTCTTTGTATTTTTCTGAATTTCTAATACTTGTTGATTTTTTATGTTTTTATATTTTTTTCTGGAATTTTTGTAGGTTGTTTCCTATTTATATGGATTTTCTATATTCTTTCTATTTTTCCTGAAATTTCTATAATATTTCTAGAGACATGTTGTTCAAACACTGTTTAGCAGTTTGCCTGTCTAAATCCCCCTTCCCCCATCAACCCTCTCCCCCTACTCCCAAATGGTATCAGGGAAAATTCCCCTAACAGGAGTGATTCCCTTGGAGGTGGAAGGGGATCGGTTGGTGCAGGGAAAAATCTCTGTACGGGAATTTTTCCCGGGGTTTCCTCCCCTGCATCCAAAGGAGCCCTAAGAGATATAGACATATATAAGAACCTGTAAGGTATAAAGATACTCAAAACAGCGCAGGCTTGTTTGGTTTGGAGGCCGGGATTTCAACTCCACAGAAATAGAAAATAATGTAGGAACAGGAATGCATAATTACAAATCCATACTAATTAAAAAAAAGGTATGAGTAGATGGGAAATTTTTTATGTTTTTTTCTCTACAACTGTTAGAAAAGGAAATTAATTTCCTTTGGATTTTCTATACCTTATTGCTACATAATCAAATGACAGTTATAAGTAGTAATTCTTAGCGTATGCTTGGTTTAGCGTATCCCAAAATAAACACCCTGAGAAAATAAATTCGTCTCAATCCGATCCATTCCGTCCTCCAACTAAACAAATGCTTATGAATCCAAATCCTTTGTAGATTGACAGGCAGGCCGGTTGGATCTGACTTCTGCCTGGTCATGCAGCACGGACTCTCTTTGGGCCGGGCTTATCTAATTGGCCCAATTAGTTTTGAACGCGAGATGTGAGGACCTGTCTCTTTTGTTTGTTTGGCAAACAATTCAGATTTCCCCGCAACAAGGGAAACAATTCAGATTTCTCTATCTCTCTCTTTCAATTACACAGTTAACACACATACTAAAATCTTCCCGCGAATGAGTTTATACGCTGCTGCAGATAAAGTTTTTTTTAATTATTTTTAGGAGAAAAAGTTGAGTGTGCTCACACGTGTAACAATTCTCACCATTGGATAATGATTTCATTTGTAGATACATGCAAACGTGTGAACTTAACTCCTTTCATTCCCTTCACTTTACTAAAGGTCTGCTGATCTACATATAGATATAGTGGTGCACAGCCTGAAAGTGCTGTCAACAAGTAAATGAGAGCTGTGCAGTGTCATTCTCGTATTATATCCAACCTATCAGTTATGGCCTTGACAGTGGCCGCCATTTTATTTCCGGTTCACGATGGATATGTACACCAAAACCTTACTTTTCTTTTGATTCCCAGCCACACTTAAAAACACATATCTTTTCAAAATTGGGGGTTTCAAAGCTAGTACTTTATACCCATCCATCCTAAAATATACTAAGGTGTAGCCACTTTTTTTTAAGTATTTCATAATATGATGTGCGTATGTCTACATACAATTCACTAATACTTCTCTCTTCCATAAATTTTCTGTTAATCATCCACCCTAATCTCATTGGTGCATGCATCGTGTTTATTGAGGCGGTCGAAACGAGAAGGTGATAACAATTATTTCTTTTTATTTGTGTTAGTGGTGGTTGTGTCTTACTTCCTCCGGTATTATAATAATTGACGCTTTGGACAAGGTTGAGTTTAATCTTTTATAACTTTGACCATCAATAACTTTCAAAATATTTGTTTTAAAGAAACAAGAACAACATATATAGATTTGTCTTTCAAAGTAATATAATAAAGTAAACATGCATTTATTTATTGTATATATTATAATAGAAAAATAAGGTCAAAGATATATTTTGTAGACCGTGTCATTGTCCAAAACGTCAATTAAAATGAAATCGGAGGGAGTAGCTGGTAGCCTGGTACCCCCTCCATCCAAAAATCTAAGACATATTTCTCTTGTTAGTAAGACCAGTGAGTAATTAACTCATCCATCATGTGATAAAGCCAATGAACTATACACATGTGTTGACGTTTGAGATCGCGACTACGGTATTTATATGGTATGGGGATCGTTGGCACCAGGGTATATGCGGGATTGAGGTAAAGAGAGATGGAGATAGGGATTTTTATATAGGTTCGGGCCCCTTATCTGGTAGGTAATAGCCCTACATCCTGTTGGCCAAAGCCGGTGTTACTCTTTATTCATCTGGATCACACAAATATAATATTTGGGATAACCTATCTAGCTGTCGTCGACTTGGCGGCTAGATAACCAACTCGTAGTCGACGACAGGGTAGTCTTCCTCCTCAAGTACGAACTCGTCGAGATCAGAGATGGCGCTAGATCCCTCTTGCCGGCTTTCGTAGGCACCAGATGGGGTATGTCTAGGCTTATCTCTGATGTTAATATCCAGCGGCGTATTGGCTTGTGTATTGTGGGTTTCTTTTTCCTCTCCTCCTAGGGGGTTTGTATTTATATCCATAGGTGTCCTCTTGTCCAAATAAAACTAGGGAGACCAAAATGAATACAATCCAAGTAGTCCTTGCCGTTTCCATATAGAACTCTATTTGTTATTCCTTATCCGGAACTCCTTCTATATACGAGATTACGAGGTTTGTTTCCGTATAGAACATGGTATGTGGTGGGCCTCACCGAGCTTAGTCGATTACTATTGGGTATGTGGTATCAATAACCCTTATAGTATGCATGCAACCAATAAGTACTAAGATGACATTTTGGGTTCCGGTCAACAATTTAATTTAGCACATAGAGATTATAAATAGGTCTTAGACTTTTTTGGATGGAGGAAGTATGAAATATTCCCTCCATCCAAAAGAGTTATGGCATCCACAATATGCTTAAAAACCAGGTAGTAAGCAATAATACAAACATTGTGGAAGTAGTAAGCAACAATAACTCCCTAGTACTTGCTATATTCAAAATTCTAAGACATTTCATTTGTCACCAAGACCAATGAGTAATTATCACATCCACCATGTGACAAAACCAATAAATTATACACATGCATGCAACCAATAAGTATTAAGATGGTTTCTTGTGTTCCGTCAACAATTTAATTTAGCACATAAAGATTTTTTTAAGAGAAATTTAGCATGTAAAGGTTACAAATAGGTCTTAGACTTTTGAAATAACAAAAAATAAAATATATCTTAGACTTTTGGATATGTAAAGGTTACAAATAGGTCTTAGACTTTTGAAATAACAAAAAATAAAATATATCTTAGACTTTTGGATAGAGAATAGTAAGGAATAAAAAAACACTATTTTCTCACCTATGTGTTGACTCTCTCCTTTCCATCCATGCCATTGCACACCGTTGGATTTTTATATAGTCATGGGACCGCCTTATTGCCTCACACATTATGAAAGTTCCAACGACAAAAATCTACATTTGTTAGACCCCACCTTACTTACTGAGTATACTATACTAATGCCCTTAGACATATTACTTTCATTACTAAGATTAAGAAAAAATTAACTCATCTTATATGTAACATAGATTAAAAAATACATGCATGCAACCAATGATTATTAAGATAACTTATCGGGTTTTGATCAAATATTTTTTTATTTATATCCTAGATACTTGAATACTACAAATATAACTAACATATTAAGAAAAACTGAAATATAAAATAATTCTAACATTTTTGCAGAGGGGTACTCCCTCTGTAAAAAAAAAATAAAAAAACCAATTCTAGGATTGTGTTTTTTTTTTTTGAACAGAGGAGTACTCTTTAGCTGCCCCTTCAACCTTTTCTTCATTACCGACATAAATTTTCAGTTATAGTTGCACTTCCACAAACTAGAGGTGCAATAATGAAGTAGCATTACCAAAGTCAACAAAAACTGTCCTGCTTGCTGCCTTGCTGCCGCTGGTCCTATCCCTACCAGCTTGAACAAATTGGTGCCATACCGTCTGAAGAAAGAGTTGATCTTTTCTTTAGTTTTGGCATAATCTGTATGTCAATGTTGATAGGAGTAAGAGACTGGAACAGATAAGTATCAAATCCGGATTTCCGGAATAGAACAGAATCAGATTAGTGAATTATCTGCATTTTTCAGACAGTAGCAACTGGCAAGACAGCAGAGTTCCTCAATGCTGAAGAATATCCATCATAAAAGATGAGATTTTGGGAATTGGGGATTTGGATAGGATCATCAGACTTTGGGACAAACCATCGCAGCAAAGGTCAATATCATGCTGGCAATTTGACGCTGAACCAAAACTTTTGTCAAAATTATCTCAAACCGTGTACTCAATCAGTGAAGTGGACTTGAGTGAGTCACATGCATCTTCAACGATTTTCCTCTCCTCCTACTGCTACAAGTCTGCAATTAATGCGATCTCACCGACCGTACACACTCCTATCTATCCAACAAGCTAATTAAGCGAGGAGCTTGGTAGACGGCGGCAATGGCGGGCGCGGCGGCGGCGGCCTTCGCGGCGCAGGTGCTGCGGGGGCGGTGGTTCATGGCGTACGGCTCCTTCCTCATCATGTCGGCGGCGGGGGCGACGTACATCTTCGCCATCTACTCCAAGGACATCAAGTCCACCCTCGGCTACACCCAGGAGCAGCTCAACACCGTCGGCTTCTTCAAGGACGTCGGCGCCAACATCGGCATCCACGCCGGCCTCATCGCCGAGGTCACGCCGCCATGGTTCGTCCTCGCCATCGGCGCCGCCATGAATCTCGGGGGTTACCTCATGCTCTACCTCTCCGTCACCGGCCGCGTCGGCGCCAGGACCCCGCTCTGGCTCGTCTGCCTCTACATCGCCGTCGGCGCCAACTCGCAGGCCTTCGCCAACACCGGCGCGCTCGTCACCTGCGTCAAGAACTTCCCCGAGAGCCGCGGCGTCATGCTCGGCTTGCTCAAGGGGTTCGTCGGCCTCAGCGGCGCCATCTTCACGCAGCTCTACCTCTCCTTCTACGGCGGCGGCGGCAGCAACACCAAGCCGCTCATCCTGCTCGTCGGCTGGCTCCCGGCCGCCATCTCCGTCGCCTTCCTCGGCACCATCCGGATCATACGCGCACCGCGCTCGCCGACCGCGGCGCGCCGCGAGTACCGCGCGTTCTGCGGCTTCCTGTACGTGTCGCTCGCTCTCGCCGCCTACCTCCTGGTGGTCATCGTCCTCCAGAAGCGGTTCAAGTTCACCCGCGCCGAGTACGCCGTCAGCGCCGCCGTCGTGTTCGCGGCTCTCCTCGCCCCCTTCGCCATCGTCCTCCGCGAGGAGGCCGCCCTGTTCAGGAAGACGCCCCCCAAGGAGGAAGCCGACGACGTCCCGGCGCTGTCCGCGGCCACGAAACCATCGCCCGCGGCCGCCGAGACGCCACCAGCGACGGCGATGGAGAGGGTGGTCCGCGCGCTGAGGCCGCCGCCGCGCGGCGAGGACTACACGATCCTGCAAGCCCTGGTGAGCGTGGACATGGTGCTGCTGTTCACGGCGACGGTGTTCGGCGTGGGCGGGACGCTGACGGCGATCGACAACATGGGGCAGATCGGGGAGTCGCTGGGGTACCCGCAGCGCAGCATCGCCACCCTGGTGTCGCTGATCAGCATCTGGAACTACCTGGGGCGCGTGTCGGCGGGGTTCGCGTCGGACGCGCTGCTGTCGCGGTACGGCATCTCGCGGCCGGTGGTGGTCACCGGCGTGCTGCTGCTCACGGTGGCGGGGCACCTGCTGGTGGCGTTCGGCGTGCCGGGGTCGCTATACGCGGCGTCGGTGCTGATCGGGTTCTGCTTCGGGGCGGCGTACCCGATGATCCTGGCCATCATCTCGGAGGTGTTCGGGCTCAAGTACTACTCGACGCTGTACAACGTGGGGAACGTGGCGTGCCCCGTGGGGTCCTACATCCTCAACGTCCGCGTCGCCGGCAGGATGTACGACCGGGAGGCGAGGCGGCAGGGGGCGCGTGGCCGTGGCGGCGGGGAAGAAGGAGCTGACGTGCATTGGGGTGAAGTGCTACAAGGATTCCTTCTTGATCGTCGCCGGGGTGACGGTGGCCGCGGCGGTGGTGATGGCGGCGCTCGCGTGGCGGACCAGGAAGTTCTACGCCGGGGACATCTACGCGCGCTTCAGGGAGGAGGCGGCTGCCGGTGGCGGTGGCGCTGGCAATGGCACCGGCGCCGGAGAAGATGAGAAGGTGGAATCCAAGGAGGAGAAGGCGGTGATGACGCCGACGAGCACCTGAGCTGCAATTCTGCTGCTCGATCAGAAGATCTGAGAGATAGAGGAGCAAAAAGGACTCCTTTTTTCTTTATAACTGTTCTTTTAGTTTTTAAGAAGTGCTATACTACAACATTGCAACACCCACATTTAGAGGGATAATTGACCCACATTTTCAACTTATCTGGGCTAGCCCGATTCCTCCAAAACAAAAACACTTTTTATGGCTGGCTATAAGGGGAAAGATTCAATCGGCTGTTCAACTGAAGAAATTTAATTGGGAAGGCTCTGAATTCTGTCAACTGTGTGATAGAAGTGAAGATGCAGTTCATATCTGTTTTAACTGTCCTATTGCGACTTTTGCTTGGTGTGTATGTCGGGATGCTTTGGACTGGGGAAGGATCCCTTTTAATTTTGAGGACTTCTTTAGACTCTATGGTTTTGATACTTCTAAAACCTCTAGACTTAATACCATGATTTTGGCTGCTTTGATTTGGACTCTTTGGTCTGCTCGCAATGATATGATTTTTAGAAACAAACTAATCTCCTCACCCCTGATTATCTCTTTCCGCTTGATTGGTTTTCTTTTACAGTGGAAGATTCTATTAAAGCCGGAGAAGGCCCATGACCTGGAAATGAAGACTCAAGCTATGCAAGGAGTACTGGTGTCCTTACGAAGAGCTGGGATTGGATAATTCTGCTCCCATCTGTTTAGTTTTCGTCTCTGTTCTGCTAGATAACCTTTATCCTTTACCCTTTCTTAGAGTCATCCTTCTTCTTAGAGTCATCCTTCTTTGGATGCTTATGTTCTGATGCCTGATGGTAATGCCTTTAATTGAAAACTGGCAGCCCCAGTATTATGTAAAACGGTTTGTAAGACTTATGCTTTCTATAAAAAGCTGGGCCATCTGGCCTCCCCTCTAAAAAACATTGCAACACCCAATTTCTTCTTCTTCTTCTTGGATCTTCTTCTTGTTTGACAACTTGGATATACTAGTTCAATTGATGGTTAGCTTTGGGTTGCATACTGTATGCATATGAATCTTGGATGTGTCCGATGACCTATAATAGGCTGTCAAATTTGTCGCTTGCAAGCAAGCAGATATGCATGTGGACGTTGTGTACAGCTCGCTGTCAATTGAGTTGGTTGTGTTACTGTTGTGCACTTGTGCTCATCTCTTGGGGTTGTACTCGTACATTACTCATGGGATACAACTAACACGTAGTAGTATCAACTTGGCGTTGAAAACTTGAAATTTCCAACTTGAACTAAAATAACAGAGAGCGAAAGCTGGGAATCTTGAGTGAGTTTGCTCCATTTCAGGGCCTATTTAAAATGAAGGATTGTTGGAGGACTTCTTTTCAACGATCAATTTCCTTATGAATTTCTCCAAAAGACGTCTTTCATTCATAGCAAAACAATAGAATGTTCTCTATTGGATTGTATTCCTATGGTAGAATTTAAAGGGAAAAAACAAAAGATTTGGTAGTCTTAAATTTTTCTGTGGTTCAATTTTCCCGTGATGCAATCAAAAGGTTTCTCTTCTTGTGTTCTCAGTTTCTGTATCATAAAAAAAACATGTCACTTTGATTTCTGCATTTTTTTTTCTGTTCAGCTGTTTTTCTATCCTACGCTCTAAAGAGGCCTCAATGAGATCGCACCATCTAACAATTGAGAGAGGATTCTCTTACTTACTTCCCTCTAACTTTGAGTCACTGGTATGTGGGTATGTGAGATCATTGAGTAGAGGGTTGACATGAAACTTTTATTTTTGAAACCGAGAAGTTAGAGGATCTCAATCCCTAACAATGCCATTTAGTAAGTCCGAAGACCACTTCTTTGGGAGATACTGTTGTGATTTGACAGTATCAACTTCATATTATCCCAGTGGACTATGCAGCATTTTCCCTTTCCCCCTGTCTACAAAGTTGCAGTTTTTTAGTTGCATGGTTAAATTTTGGAGCTTAAAGTTACACAAATTCAAATCCCCAAGCTTAAAAATCCACTTGATGAGTTTGTGATATACTTAATCTTCTACGTACTACACTAAAAAAAAACTGTGTAAATAATTTGTGCAAAAATGAACATTTTTTCACGAACGCGCAAAAGGATTGCACGTCAATATATTAGAAAAATAGAGTTTTGATACACAACGCACTCAGCCAGACCGGCCTATGCCAAGGAAGGAAGAAAAACAAAGAAAGGAAAGGAAAAAAACTCGAAACGACGGTAACTCTACTCCAAACAGGGGGAGGGGGTAGAGCCACTCTACGCTCCCAACAATTCCCCAAAGGAAGCAACGGCCGCTAACGACCACAGCCGGTCCTCCGAAAGGATGGACTCTACGACTACTGTGACCGAAGAGAACACAGAGTCAAAGACCCTGGAGTTACGTTCCTTCAACAGTTGCTATGAGACTAGGAGGACTAGGGAGTTGAAGCTGGCACGGAGATGATAAGGTAAACATGCCCTAGAAGATGGCCACCAATCCTGCAGCCAGCTGCCACGGAGGGGAGAGAGGACAGCCCAGCCAGGAGACGACAACACCCGTCATCAGACCTAACGAGCGAACACGCAGTCAAGGAGGATGTGGTTCGTCGTCTCAAGCTCTTGAGCGCAAAAGGGGCAGGCCGAGTGGCTATCAATGCCGCGCTTCTGAAGGAGATCAGCCGTCTAACAGCGCTGCTGAAATGCAAACCAGAGGAAGAATTTGCACTTAGCAGGGCCCTTCGCGTGCCAGAGAAAATCGGCACAAGCAAAGGAGTGCTGGTCAAAGAAGAACGCCTGGTACGCCGAATGCGTCGAGTAGCGCTGGTCACTCGTCCAACGCCAGACAAGATGATCCCCGACACCCGGCATAAGCTGAATGTGGAGTACCGCATCCCAAACAAGGAGAAATTGGGAGATGACCGGGACAGTGAGGGCGCCGTGGATGTCAGAAATCCAGGCGTTGTTTGCCAGGCCAGAAGCAACCGTGCGCGAACCACACAGACGCGGGGGCACAACGAAGAGGAGATCCGGAGCCAAGGAAGCTACCGAGCGGCCGCAGATCAATTGGTCAGACCAGAAAAGAATTGTCTCACCATCACATGGTATGAAGAAGGTGAACGCCTCAAACATGTAAGAGACGGCTTGCTCGGCTGGGGCCTTCAGGCCGTCCCAGTAGGGATGCGCTGAGCGCTGGAGCCAAAGCCAGCGAACACGCAGGGAAAAACCTGCCAACCTAAGGTCATGAATTCCCAACCCACCGAAAGCTCTGGGACAACAGACATTCGTCCAAGAAAACCGGCACTGCCCACCGTGAGCCGAGTCCATGCCCGTCCACAAGAAGGCGCGACGCTTCTTATTAATGGCCTTGATCACTCAGGCTGGAAGGCCGATCGCCATAGACACATGGACCGGAATGGAGGAGAGAACAGACTAGACCAAAACAGAACGGCCGGCCAGAGTGGTGAGTCGTCCCTTCCAGGAAGGAAGACGACACACAGGACCATTATTCCATAAAGTTTGTAATATGTACAGTATATTCCTTGGTTTCCTCAAACAAATACGAGTACAGTATCCTAGTATATTATTCCTTGGCAGTGCCACTGCCATTGCTGTCCACTCCGAGCTCCGTTTTTCCGTCCTTGAACTTGGCGTAGATGTCTCCCGCGTAGAACACCCGCGTCCTCCACGCCAGCACCGCCGCCACCGCCGCCGCCGCCACCGTCACCGCCGTCATCACCAAGAACGACTCCCTGTAGCACCTCACGCCGATGCAAGTCAACGCCTTCTTCCCCGCGGCCGCGGCCACCCCATGTCCCTGCCGCGCCGCCTCCCGGTCGTACATCCGGCCGGCGACGCGGACGTTGAGGATGTACGACCCGACGGGGCTCGCCGTGCCGCAGAAGTTGTAGAGCGTCGAGTAGTACTTGAAGCCAAACAGCTCCGACACGCTCGCCAGGATCAGCGGCTGCGCGGCGCCGAAGCAGAACCCCACCACCACCGACGCCGCGTACAGCGACCCCGGCACGCCGAACGCGATCAGGAGGTGCCCCGGAGCGGTGAGCAGGAGCACCACGGCGAGGATGAGCGGCCGCGGCAGCCGGTGCCGCGCCAGGAGCGCCTCCGACGCGAACCCGGCGGCGACGCGCCCCAGGTAGTTCCAGATGCTGATGAGCGACACGAAGGTGGCGACGCTGCGCTGCGGGTACCCCAGCGACTCGCCGATCTGCCCCATGTTGTCGATCGCCGTCAGCGTCCCGCCCACGCCGAACACCGTCGCCGTGAACAGCAGCACCATGTCCACGCTCACCAGGGCTTGCAGGATCGTGTAGTCCTCGCCGCGCGGCGGCGGCCTCAGTGCCTGGAGGATCCTCGCCGTCGCCGTCGTCGGTCTCTGGGATTCAGGCGAAGGCTGTGCCGCCGGCTTCGCGGGCGCGGTCACCACGGACAGCGCCCGCGGGACGTCGTCGGCTTCCTCTTCTTCAGGCGACTTATTCTTGAACAGAGCAGCCTCCTCGCGCACTACAATGGTGAAGGGGAGGAGGAGCATGGCGAACACGACGGCGGCGCTGACGCCGTACTCGGCGCGGGTGAAGCGGAGCCTCTTCTGGAGGATGATGGCGACCATGAGGTAGGCGGCGAGCGCGAGCGACACGTAGAGGAAGCCACAGAACGCGCGGTATTCGCGGCGCGCCGCGGCTGGCGAGCGCGGCGTGCGTATGATCCGGATGGTGCCGAGGAACGCCAGGGAGACGGCGGCCGGCAGCCAGCCGACGAGAAGGATGAGCGGCTTGGTGTTGCCGCCGCCGTAGAAGGCGAGGTAGAGCTGCGTGAAGATGGCGCCGCTGAGGCCGACGAATCCTTTGAGCAAGCCGAGTATGACGCCGCGGCTCTCGGGGAAGTTCTTGACGCAGGTGACGAGCGCGCCGGTGTTGGCGAAGGCCTGCGAGTTGGCGCCGACGGCGATGTAGAGGCAGACGAGCCAGAGCGGGGTCTTGGCCCCGACACGGCCGGTGACGGAGAGGTAGAGCATGAGGTATCCCCCGAGATTCATGGCGGCGCCGATGGCGAGGATGAACCATGGCGACGTGACCTCGGCGATGAGGCCGGCGTGGATGCCGACGTTGGCGCCGACGTCCTTGAAGAAGCCGACGGTGTTGAGCTGCTCCTGAGTGTAGCCGAGGGTGGACTTGATGTCCTTGGAGTAGATGGCGAAGATGTACGTCGCCCCCGCCGCCGACATAATGAGGAAGGAGCCGTACGCCATGAACCACCGGCCTCGCAGCACATGCGCCGCGAAGGCCGCCGCCGCCGCCATGGGCATGGCCGGTTGGAGGCTGGACTGGAGCGCTAGCTGGTACAGTAAATGTTTGTACACGACGACAAGGGGAGTACGTAGATAGGAATATACTACTCCTAGACACGTCGTGTGATTGCCTCCCGGATCCGGATGATATAACCTAGTTCTCAAAAAAAAATGTTGCACTACTTTGTAAAAAAAGTTAAGACAGTTTTGAAGACGGTAGAAAGTCTCTTCAACAACACAAATTTTGACAATTTAACCCTTTACAAAAACTAATTTTACAAATGAATCGTGGCCAAAACTTATTTAAAATACGAACCTTTTGTGGCGCTGAACTTAGACACCTTAGCACCGAATAACACGGCGCTGAATGCACATTGGCACGCCGACTAGCCTCCCATCCGCGGTGGCACAACATTCAGCACCAGTTGACGTGGCGCTGAGATGGATCCAGGACTGGTAGCCAATCTCTAGGGCCTGTTTATCTGAGCATCTCCATGTCGGCTTCGACTCCCTAGTTCTCCTGGCCACTTGGCAGCTGTGGAAGGAATAGAACTCCAGGGTTTTCAACTCCGCACTTCCTTCGGTCTCAGTGGTTCTGGAGTCCATCCGCTCGGAGGGCCATCTGTGGTCTTTAACTGGCATTGTTGCTTTTAAAGATTTCTTGGGAGTGTAGTGTGGCACCGCCTCTTCCTGCTGATCGGAGTTACGTATAGCTGCTGTAGTAGTTTTTCTTCCTAGCTACAGCTTTTATTTTGTTTTTTCTTCCTTCCCCTGGCATAAGCCGGTCTGACTGATTGCGTTGTGTAAAAAAATACCTTTTTTCCTTCTAATATATTGACGTGCAATCATTTTGCGTGTTCACGAAAAAAATAACAATATCTCTATCAATATTATCTTCCCAATTAATTATAGCCCTCCATCATTTCATTTTTTTCACCTACTTTGCTTTTCATCCAATTATAATATTTTTTCTTTTTAATTTCACCTATTTTTTAAAGTAACCATGTCTAACCATAAAAATCTTTTACGTTTTAGAACAGATGCAGTAACTTTGATCCAAGAGTGGGAAGCGTACAAGAGGTACCGTAGCAGTACAATTTTAGTTTCTTCTCTCTCCCGTTTAGATTGCCTTTGAGGTGAGGCTAAAAAATGCAGTTAATTAAGTTAATTAGTTCAAAAGTTTGGGTAGGCAGCCACATCTGAGTATAGGATATCAGTTGGAAAGTAGTCCAATGAAAGTGAACACTTACAGCATGCGCGTGGGAGATGTGGTGGATAAAAAGGATGTGATTAACAGTAAAAGTATACAAGAAGTAGGATCGAATAGCTTATTTTTTAACAACAAAATGCATGCTGCGAGGGCCAAAACAGAGCAAGATGTCAGTAACCCAGTGCAATCTAGGAGTAGCTAATTCTAATGTACTAGGCAATGCATGAAATGTAGTTAAACAAGCTGACGAGTAGTATTTGATTGATTTATATTTAATTGTCTCAGTGATTTGACCGGTAGCTTAATTTTCTGTTATTCTAGGACTAGGAACAGTATATGAGACTGAATTATTATTATTAAGTTGAAAGGGAAAAAGTGAGCTGATTAGTTTGGTCTTGATGCACGTGCTGCTACAGGAGGAAGAGAAAAAAAAAAGCTTACAAAAGGTTGGGATTTGGCTCCATGCGCCATGATTCCAGGCAGCAGTGTAGTGTGATGTCGAACGCGCGTGAAAGTAGAGTAGTAATAAACTTTTTTTTTTCAAGATACGACGTTTTTATCTCTTATTGCCATGCATTCTGCATTCTACCTGTGCTTGTGAGTAAAAATATTATATCGCGTGTGTGGCTAGATCAATAGCGATCAAGGCGGATGAAAAATGATCGAGAATTGACGGAAGTGTTAAAAATTAGAACGGATAACTACTAAAGTGAACCGGTATTTTTTGGTGCTATAAAAAAAACGTGAACTTTTAATGTTATATAACCAATTTTACCAAAACCATATGAGCCGAATAGAAAGTTTGTGTAAACAATACTGAGCATTTCTCGCAAAAGAAATTACTGATAGTTGGATAAAAGGGTATATAGATAATAAAAAATCATAAATAGGCTGAACATGTATCTCTAGAGGTTTCTGCTGTCTACTGGACAGATGATATAAAGAGAGAGGAGACGAAGATAATGAAAAAAAAAGAGGTTTATAGTGATTTCTCTCATATATCTATAAGTATAACTTAGCTAAATTTATAATTTGCTAGACTAATTGATACTGTGCTAATGTTATAACTTTCTTAAAAGCTGAGATAAACTAATAGATCAGATACAGAACTTGTTAAACGGGATTAAAAGTCACGCAAAACATAACTACGTGGCTAGTAATAAATGGAAGTTATTGTCGCTATCTATCGAGCTAAATCCTTTAAGACGAAATAACACTGGTGGAGAAATCGTTTTTAGTCCCGGTTCGTAACCTCATTGAGTATCAACGGTAATTGGGCAGTAGGCTTTAAAGGCTAGCAGCCTTGGCACACTTAATATTTAGCTGAACAATTTTAGTACAAGTATTTTACCAAAGGCCAACTAAGATATCAGTGAATATCGCTAGCTCACTGCCAGTGACTATCTGCTTGTAAGTGTTTCGTCATGCGAGGAACATATATATAAGGACAAACAAAACAAAACAAAACTGCATAAGATCCAGAGGGGTCGGCGTTTTAATCGCAGAACCTATCGATGCTGCTCATGTAAGCCTTATCCTCAGTATTTTCTCTTCATTTGTCCAGGTTAATCATTGTTTGACCTTTCTGCATCATCCATCACATTTGTCCAGGTCCAGCCCATAAAAAAGACAAGCCAATCACAAGCTACTCTCATTTTGCTTGCAATAATTTTCCATTAATACATGGCCATTGATACGGTCTTTTACCCAGACAATATCCAAATGCATGTTAGTATTAAGATAGAAGGAAAAAAAAGGTAAAGAAAATAATACTAGTTCACTCAAGGTTCATTGCTCCGGTCATAATTGCATAAACTAGTAATAGTTCATTCAAGGCGATTGAAAGCAAGGAACATGAGAAAAAATAAAGAGAATATATAGTAGAAAATGTGCCGTTAAAAAACAAGAAACAAAGGGTCGTCGTTTTAATCTCCGAACCCCTCAACCTTGCTTCTGCAAGCGTTATCGCAGCTATTTTCTCTTCAGTTCCACTTAATCGTGCTTAATTGTTGTATGTCATTTCGCATCATAAGGCCATCAATGACAAAACCAATAACACAAGATCAGAAGTAGGGATACAACTCACACATCCCTGGTGACTAAACCCTAAGGAGAATGCATGCATGAGCCGACTAAATAATTCCGAGGCCCAACTTCACATGCAGTCCAAGAATTGTTCTAAAAGTGTTTGGTATGTGCTTTAATCGGATGATCAGATATCTAATTGAATGAATGTCTGATTCAGGGGACCGAGTAGGACGATAAATATGCATGATCAGATGACATTGCCGTCTACTGGTCGAGTTGTATGTTTTATCTTTTTGAAAGGAATAGTTGTATGTTTTTATCAAAAAGAAATGCTAACTGAGTAGTAAGTAGGCTCAAAGCATAGGCACACTGAATTAGCTGAATGGTTTTACCAAAGGCCAACAAATTAAGATTTCAGTGAATATTGCTAGTTGTCTGTCAGCTGGTTAGCGCTTGCCAGTTGCCAATGAAGTGTTTCGACACGCGACGAACATGAGGAAAAAAAAAAGAGAGAGTAACACACAGTGTTAAAAAGAAAAGAATATCCAGATTCCAGAGGGGTTCGGAGTTTTAATCTCCGAACCCCCTCGATCATGCATCTGTAAACGTTATCCTCCGGTATTTTCTTTTAAGTTGTCCAGTTTAATTGCTGTACGTTTGACATTTCTGCATCATCCATCTATCCATCACAAATGATGTCCATCGGTCCAGCTCATCCATCAAGACAAGTCAGATAACACAATACTAATCTCAGAAGCTATGACTCTCAATTTGACTGCCAACAGTAATGGTTGATATATACGGTCATAATCGAAACTAGTGTAATAGTTCATTTATTCAAGGTGATCTAATTAAACAAAAAGGAACAAACACTAGAAAGAAAACGATAGTAGCAGTAGAATAAGAATGCACCATTAAAAAGGAGAAACAGAGGGGTCGGTGTAGTAGTTTTAGCCTACGTAATCCTACTTCGTTGGTTCAAGCTGATCGAAGCAAATAAATTAACTTAACTTATTAAGGTCCATCCATGCAGTAGCATACAGCGTCGCATGATTATTATTATTACGTGTGGCTGCAAAACGGATATAAATAAACAAGCAATCAAACTAATTTAATCAATCGATGGATTGCATTGCTATCATGGATATGATGCATCAGGCTGGCAGGCGATCCATCCATCAGAGAATTCTGGTGGTGGTGGCAACGCCGACGGCGGCGGAGGCGGCGGAGTCCCGGCGGCAGTCGTTGAGCATGTCGAGGTAGGGCTGGCATCTGCTGACGTGGATCCCTTGCTGGGCGACGCATTCCTGGAACGCCTTCTTGTGGGCGCCGCACGCATCCAACATTGGATGAGCCGCAGCGGCGGCCGCCGGCGCCGGAGAAGACGAAGTGGACGTGGCGTCGACGACGTTGACGGTGCGAGGGCCGAAGACGGCGTCCATCCCCCTCTGCACCATCCCGTAACCCGTGCCCCATCCCCACCCTGCATTTTCACTTCATGATTATGCCGTCCAGTTTGAGAGCGGCTCGATTATTTACTTATTAACATGAAAAATTAATATTATGGAAAATAAATTTCGCAATTAAGTGGTAGGTGTACGACCAATACAATAGGTACAAAAGTATTTTGATAAATCATGCATATTTCTCAGAAGCACGAAGCAAATAATCCAGTGACAAAAATCTGATTAAAAAAACTAAGGTCAAATATCTATACTCCATTTAGTATAGTATTTTTTTTATTTATCACCTACTCAATCATATTTTCCATTAACTACCTAATAATGTACTTTAATGTTATAAAATAATCTCTGCACATGTACGATTCTATCACATTTCATCAGTATTATACAATATAAATGAAATTATTCTAAAAAAAATTACTATTACTTTGTTTAATCGGTAGCAAATTAAAGCACGGTATTTGGCTAGTAGATTAATTTGCATCTATGCATGGAGAGCAAGTGTATATATAGCAGTATATAGCATTGTGGAGCTAGCTAGAAATTTAGGGTCTGTTCACTTTGATGCATTTTCAACCTTACTAAATTTTGATAAAGTTATCAAAAAAAATGGCTACATTTAATTTGCTGCCAAATTTTGATAACTATATAAGAAATCATGCCAAAATTTTGACAAATTACTAAAATTTTGGCAACTATGCTAAAATACCAAAATTTGATAATGTTTTTTTTGCAACAAAGTGAATAGAGCCTTAGTAAGCAAATTGAATAACTAACTGACCATCAAAGAAAGCAGATCCGATGGATCCTATGACGGAGTCATTGCTGCCGGAGGAAGTATTCTTGGTGGCCGGAGCTGTGCCTGTGCTCTTCGCCGCCGGCGTGGTCGCCGGAGCAGCACGGGGTACTGCTTTCGTGCCCGTGCTGCTGCCGCGGAAGCTTGACCTCCCTCCTCCTCCTGCACGTACGCACCAATTAATTAATTCAATTTAGTTACTGGCTAGCTTAATTATACTAATAATTTAATTCACAAAAGTTAAGCTGTTGCTACTACTTATTAGCGATATATTGACCCAGTGATCGGTCGGCCGGATCTACCAAATAATGCACGACTGATCGATCGAAGAACAAAATTAAGGTCGATCGAAGAATCTAACCTCCACCGCGGCCGCCGCGACCCATGGATGGCGTTTGTCGGATCTCGGTGACGAACAATCAACTACGATCGTCGGAGAATCTATTAGTAATTTGTTTACAGTGCGCGGGCAGAGCATAGGGCTGCGAGTATATATATAGAGAGAGAGATATGGAGATAACGAATTAATTAACGACGAAGATACAGTATATTATATGATTGGTTTCTTTCTTTTCGGTGAAGGAAGGGCTGAATTTCATCTTCTTATCTCCATCGATGAGATTAGATGATCGACATTGAGAAACGAACTCCGCTGATCTCGCGGTTGCAGTAAATGTACACCTATCTATACTAGTAGTACCAGGCAGTTGAAACACAACGTACATAGTGGGCCGGGCCTTGGTCGGCTGCAGGCCCACCAAAGCTAGCGCACATACGTCCAGCCCATGACGAACCAGTCCAACACAAACACATCACAACTCAGTTTGACTCTAACCCTATTAGGCTTAGATCACGCCGGCGACCAACTATCGACGCCTCCGGCACGACAGCAAGGGCAACTGCAAGAGTGCTTTACCAAGGTCAGGTCAGTGCATGGTTGGCCTGATTCCTTATAGCTCTTTTAATCGTGCTTTAGCGAAAAAAAAATCAACTTTATTAACAGACAAATCTAAACAAATGCTTATACAAACTCGTCCTACAATCGCTTCTAAAAGTTGTTCTTTTATTGAACGAGAAGTTAGTAGTAGTATCAATTCTGTCCCTTGATTTTTTTATGTGGAATTAATACTCATCATGCCTGTATGAATTGCTTTCTAATTTAAAGTTCTAAACCCTCCGCCTAAAGAAAATGTATTCTAGAAGGGGATGTGATCCCTCCTAATACAATAAACCGACGATAGAAGTTATGAGTATTTCATAGTACTCCACTAAGAAGTGAAGAATAACACACCCTAGCTAGTGACAATTAGTATGTGGTCCGTCCAATCATTCTTTCACGCGTGTCTCATGCCTCGCTTCACAATTCAGATTGTGGGTCCCAAAATCTGAACTACAGTTACTCTGCCTGCTTACTGTACTACCCTTTTTCCAGTTACCAGGCTGTCAACACAGCAAAGGCCATCGACATGTGGACCACTCCAACAATTTTAACTCGTGGGAGTAAAATGGAGTATGCATGCCCTCTCTCTCTCTCTCTCTCTCTCTCTCTCTGTGCAATATTATTACTGTACATGTACCCCATGTCCCCATCTCTCGTCTCTACCATAACTAGCCTCAAGGGTGTGTGCTACCATGGACTTGTCTCAGGCAAAGACTCTTTTGTACCGTACAAGCTTACCATTTCTATAAAAGTAATTTTACAGTACTTGAGAAGGTATCAAAAATTTAATGTAAAATTTGTTATCTTATAGTACCTAGATATCAATAGGTATTAAATTTAGAATAGAAAAAATGATACCTTCTCAAGAATCGTAAAATTGTTTTTTCTCTAATAGAAATGGAGAGCGTTGTCCCTCCATTCCTTTGATAAAAAAAGAAGAAAAAATTCATGCCATTACAGTGTTCTCTCACTACTACCATCCACTAGTGATGATCAGTGCAGTGCTGTAGTAGCATGCAGCATCAGCAGCTGATAGATGCATGTAAAAGTATGCATGTGTTGTGTTTTGCTACCATACCAGTGTCTGGAAGCATTTGTCACTTCAGGCCAGCCTTTTGAAAGGCTTTATTAGCGCTTTACTAAACACGGTATGACATGTACTGGGTGGCTCCACCATAATGTCATGGCAAAATGGCAATGACAATGCACATTTTTCTTTTCCTTTTTTTTTCTTATTAGCTTCTATCTGAGCGATTTCACATTGCTCTGGTTCTGAAAGATTGGATTTTAACATTGCTCTGATTCTGAAAGATTAGATTTCGCATGCTTGATCTTGATCCTTGAGTACCTAGTTACTTGAAAAGCTACTATACTATTACCATGCTAGTAGCACATTGACAGGGTTCAGATCTCAACCATTAATCTGCATATATTAGGGATTAAAGAAGAAGGATGATACGATGCTCCTCATTATTCTAGTCAGTCTGTTGTGAAAGCTTTCGAAAGGGATGGAGATTTTGATGAGGCCCGCCTGGCTCACTTCTCAAGTGCCATGGAAGAATGGAAGCGTGCAAAACTCCACTAGTTCTTGCCATCCCAGTAGTATATTTTCTTTCATTTCACCTTCTTCAATTCCTGGAGCATTGTGCAAGTTTTGCACCCGTGCTTGCTTGACTGTATATCTTGTTTGTTTGCAGCTGGTAACTAGTGCCACATCTACCAAGAACCAAGATTGGATTGCCATGCAAGCCTGGAATATTTGGAGCTACTCACCCAGCTGTTGTATGTTACTATACTACACAACTGATGATCCTCAAGTTATTTATTAACTAATTTAGTGCTGTCTGTGATTTTCTTGTTCCAAAATAGTGTTGTTAACTTATCACTTTGGCTTGCATCAGTACCTAGCTAGTTGACAGCATTTTTTCTGTGGTTTGGTTTAAGTGGATTTGCAGCAGCCAGACAGATAAATGAGAAAAAAAAAGATGAACAGAAGGTCTCCACTATGTACAGACCACCACAGTGATTTGGTTCTGCCCAAAGAACCAGCTGGGCACAAAAGAAGAAGATGTGAAGCTGCACTTGTCCAGCTACACTCCTACACGGTTCATCATCATGTATCTACAAAATTTGTTGCTTGTCACTGCAATCATGAGTAGTAGCAACCATTATAGGAGGTACTCACTCAGAGTTCCAGGTGCTGCTCGTAGTAGAGCTCACTCATGCAGGGAGACAGGATCTCCTCCTCCAGCATCTTCAGGACAGCGCTCATCGATGGACGCTGGCCTGGGTCTGCATCGGTGCACATCGCAGCAATGTCGAGGATCGCCTCGACTGCTTCCACTTCCACATCACCGCAGTTCTCATCAATGATCTCCTCCAGCCGATGCTCCCCCGTCAGGGTGTTGAGCTGCAGAAGAAAGTTGGCAATTCAGATTACTTTTGTCACTTGTAAGATTCATAGGAGGGAGGGAATATAGAGAGGTTCTTCTTACCCAGCCAACAATGTTCAGTCCCTTCTTGAGGAAGCATGCATCTGTAGGCCTCTTTCCGGTCACCAACTCGAGCAAAAGCACTCCAAAGCTATACACATCAGATTTTTCAGTAGCATGGCCATTTTGCAGGTATTCTGTCCATATAAAGTTAAAAATGACCAATGTCAGTCTGGATGGAAGGTGCTCAACACAGATTTAAACAGGCAGCATTGGTGTTGTCTTAAAAAAGCATGATTTGTCTCGATTTATCTCCAGTAGCTTGACTACAAAGTAGTACAAACTACTACGAATCTGGATTTAGTACTAGGTGGTGTCTAATCGAATATTAGGTTACTATATTTTAGGACGGAGAAAGTGCTTAACAGTCATAAGCTTCTACTGTTAGTCTGTACTCTGTACAATACAAAAGGGGGAGCAGTAATTATGCAGGACAGCATGATCTTTTGTTTTGATTGAAAGCATCACAGTGTGGAATAGAGAATAAGTACCTGGTGCTAGGTATCCAAAAGTACCCGCGACAACAGTGGTAACGTGGGCATCATTATCTACAAGCAGCCTTGCAAGGCCAAAATCTGATACGCGGGGTTCCAAGCTTCTGTCCAGAAGGATGTTACTGGCTTTGATGTCCCTGTGCACAATCACGGGTGAGCAATCGTGGTGCAAATACGCCAGCCCTCGAGCAGAGCCCAGGGCAATCTTCATACGTGCATTCCAGTTCAATGGTTGATCATCCTGAGCATCTCCTGAAATCAGGGACAAGGCGTTTTTGAGCATCAGGTAATGTAAGAAGTTTTTGCACAATTGAAGCAGTTGTAACCATGATGATGAAACAATATGCAGCAAGATGCAAGAAAGACAATAGGCTTACCATGAAGGTAGCAATCCAAACTGCCCAGCTCCAAGAAATCATATATGAGTAGTTTGGCTGTAGGAAGACGGCAGTATCCTCGCAGATTGACAAGGTTAATGTGCCTAATGCTGCCCAGAATCTCAAGCTCCTTCTCGAAGGTCCTATCGCGCCCTTCACGGTTGAGATCAATCCTCTTGACAGCAAATGCCGTGCCATCATCCATCACCATCTTGTACACGGTACCAAAACCGCCACAACCGACCACATCCTCTTCATCAAGCAGCTCCAACCTTCTGATGATCTCACCTGATGAGTACGGAAGGTTCCACTGGTATGTCACGAGCTTCGCACCTAAGTCAGAACACCACAGATAGCAATTAGTTTCCATTAAGTGAGGGCCTGGACAGGCCGGAACGAGTGATAGCAGCTGTGTCGACTTTATTACCATCTGGGATAGTTTGCTTGTCCATTTTAACATAGCTTCCACCAATGCTCTTCTTCCTGGACAGAAGACATATCCAGAGGAAGCCTAGTACCGCGATCAATGCAAGAGCCATGGTTGACATTGAGCCAATCACAATGCCATTCAGGAAGTGCGATGTTTTGTTGTTGTTGATTGGTGAAACGCCTGTTTGCGACAGAGAGATGAAACCATCAGTTAGTCACACACACATTGCACCAAATTTGGTGAGAAGAGCTTCAACACTGAGAAGATGGCTTAGAAATGGAAGACTTGCCAGCTGAGGAGAGGGGATCAGAATGCGGCAACACGGCAGGAAACCCGAGGGTTCCACGGCAAGCCTTCTGGATGGGCAGTCCACAAAGCTCCAAATTCCCAACGAACCTGCAAATGCCATTGAATTGTCATGTGAAGAAATGCACCATGGCATTGAATACAGGTTGTGCTCAAGAAGTAGCAGAAATGCACAAATTTGTTCATGTTTGCTACAGTTATGCTCCCACATCATAAAGAGCAATGACACATCAAAGAAAGTAGAAAGGAAGATGGGCCCAAATCTAAAAGCTTACGAGCTGCTTTTGAAGGTTCCAAGGACACCAACATTTGGGATTTCTCCAGAAAAGAAATTGGTGGACAGATTCCTGCAATGCAAATAAGCATATGTTCTTTCAGAGATTTGCAACAGCATTTACTCGTCTGGTTTTAGCAATGCCGACAAGATGGCATAAGGAAATTTATACAGCAAGAAACTTACAGGAAACGAAGGTGAGTAAGGCTTCCAATGGACGCCGGTATTGTGCCCCTCAACAGGTTGCTGGACAAGTCCCTGCAGATGGCACGCATTAGACCAAGAATAAGCAGTGAATCAGATCAGGGTATTTTGCTAAGAACCTACAAGATTGTGAGGTGAATGAGCTCGCCAATCTCTGAAGGGATGCCTCCTTGTAGGTAGTTGGCTCTCAAGTAACTGCACACACACAGAGTAAATTAAACCTCCGCATTTCAGCTCTACAAAGTCATTAGCAGACAGATGGAGATGGAACCAAACAAGTACTAGATCGTAGCAGCATACATACATCGCTCTGAGCTCGGTGCAGTTCTTGATCTCAGAAGGGATTGGGCCATGCAAGCTGTTCTGGTGCAATGCTCTGAACAAAAGGGGTTAGAAATTAAAGAAAGACCAATGCGGATAGTGTAAATGAAGATGGTGTTGAAATGGGAAGTGTTGCACAAAAGTGGTGAAGAAGAAAAAATGTTACATTCTCTGCAGCTTGTCGAGCTTCCCAATGTTAGGTGAAATGATGCCCCCAAGCTGCATGTAAGGGAGATTTCTGGTAGAAAAGGAAAACATGAAAGAAGAGATTATTCAGGGGGCGAGGAATCCAATGAGCACATGGGTAGCCGAGCCATGAAACATTTTGCTTGAGACTTGAGAGAGAGATGCAAAAGGGAAAAGAAAAATGAAAGATAAGGCTAATTAATCTGGGTGCAAAATGGAGAAATGCAAGGAAGGAAAGATAGAGATAAATTGGAGACGGACATGGATTGGACCCTGAGGTCGGGGAAGGAGCAGGAGATGCCCTCCCAGCCGCAGGGGTTAGGGTCGGTGGGCTTCCAGGTCGTCAGCCGCTGGCTGCTGCCATTGAAGGAGAGCTTGAGCTCCAGCAATGCCTGCCCTGCAAGGAGCAGAAAAAACACAACTACCCCGGTGAGACAGCCAGATTGGAGGAAGCGTTCTCTCATCCATCCATCCATCCATCCATGGATGCGTAGTGCAGCGCAGAGAGAGAGAGGGTACCGTCCGGGGTGAGGGCCATGGAGGTGGAGCAGAGCAGTGAGGCAGCCATGGCGGTGACGAGGGCAGCGCACAGGCCCACCACCTGCCCCGGAGTCCCGTGGCGGCCGCCGCTCGTCGGCTCCATCTTCTTCATCTTGTTGCTTGTGCTGTCCATGGTGGCCTTGGCTTGGTCTCTCTCTCTCTCTCTCTCTCTCTCTCTCTAGAGTGTAGTGGGAGTGAGAGTGAGGGTGAGGGAGGCTTTTGCTGGTTGGATTTTGAAAGGTAGCGAGCGAGCCGAGGACTAGTCTGAGCTGCTGTCATCTGACATGTGGGACTCCAGCCTGACTCCCGGGCCCACATGTCGGCGAGTAAGGATGTGTGGTGGTAGCCGTAGCAATTTTCTACTCCAAAAGCCGCCAAACACGACACTGGTCGCACGCGCAAGCTACACTGAATTTTGCTTTCCTTTCTTTTTCTTTCTTCAGCACTCCTCCTGTATGTACAGTACAGACAAATTGTACCGCCTGTATATACATACAAATACACGTATGTAGGTATGTAAAGACAGACTTAAATACGTAGATACAGATACTACAAGCCAGGTAGGTACGTAACGTTGGAGATGTAAATATGTGAGCTACGGTACGTAAGCTTGTTGGTTGTGCGATGGTATACGATGAGGATCAGGAGGAAAGGCCGGATTGTCAAAAAATACAGACAGCTAGCTGACTGCAAATACTGCTGCATTGCCATTGAAGATAATTACTACATGAGCATCACTAGCATAGTAACCTGCCTGTACTAACAAGATGAGCACCATGTAAGTATAGTACTCCTTGCATGCATTAACTTAACTTTGGTGTGTGCAAGATCGAGGGAACAGCAAGACAGAGACAACAAAATACAAAATGACAAAAATAATGTTAGCAACTGGAGTAGCCGTTGATAATGGAATGACGATGGCCCACCACCACCAACACAATCCCGTTGAGTTGCTACTTCAATACTACTAGTACGTGTAAACTTGAAACAGTAGCTGAAGAACAAACAATAACTTGTTGATCATTTGATGAATGTTTCAAAACCACAGACACGCCCATACCAACTCCAATTCGATTCGATCCACATACACCCTTTTTAAAATAAAATAAGTTCAAACAAGATCGATCTGTCCTGAAACTCATCTGAGCCCAACGTTAAATTTTGCAACAACAAGACAAACGCAGGTGCAGTGAGAGCCGTACTAGATGCACCACGCATCGTCAGGAGTATTAAATTCTTCGTTACTGCTAGTAGAATCCAATGTTTTGTTGGATTAATCATCACAAGGGGTATACAGTACGTATTACCATTAGCTACTACTCCTCGTTACCGTCCTAGCTTGGGCCGTTGCATGCAGTGCAGCAGTGGTGACCTCCTGCGGTCATCTTACTCATCTACACTATCAAATAAGATTTTCTTTCAGTTTATGTTAGCGCATTTTTCTAACTGCTAATGTGAAAACTTTTTATATAAAAGTTGCTTTAAAATATCAAATAAATTTATTTATCTTCATTAGTTTCAAACACCTTAGTGTGTCGTGTACTCGTTAGGTCGTGCCGGCGATCGACACCATCCAATTCTCCCTCTCCCCGGTGAAGAGAGACATTGCCTTGCAGTTAGTAGTTACTTTTTGATACTCCCTCCGTTTCTAAATATTTGACTTCGTTAATTTTTTTTAAACATGTTTTACCGTTTGTCTTATTCAAAAAATTTAAGTAATTATTTTTTTCCTATCATTTGATTCATTGTTAAATATACATTTTATGTATACGTATAGTTTTACATATTTCACATAAGTTTTTGAATAAGACGAATGATCAAACATGTATAAAAAATCAACAGTGTCGGATATTTAGAAATAGAGAGAGTAATATGTTTCACACGGCTCGAAGACAATTTTATCGAGGGTTGGTGCGCGCGAGATCTGGTCGACTGAACGGTTAGGCTTAAATTTCGGTGAGTCTACTTGCACCTTTGAATTCAATTTTCAGAACTTGGGCTTTAACTTTGAGACCTTGCTATAAAGGTTTGTGGATGACAAAAACTAAATGTTGTTTATGTAAGTAGCATTTTGTCAATCAGGGTGAAGGTTTAGCAATTATCTGTCTTTAGGCTAGTGTTTCAGTTAGTTCTCTCGTTTTTCATTAAATTGTGCTTTGCAATTAAAAGTTATGTTGACTGCAAAGGTTGTAGCTTATTTGAAGCAAAGATTGGAACGGAAATTCTCATTATCTTAGAGTTACAGCTCTCCCAAACGTGTTGTTTTGCTCCTGTCAGTGTTGCCGACATGAGTCCCTTCGTTACGGGGCGATTTTGGGCTTTCGGTGGGCTCGTTTCAGCCCTAAGAAGAAATGATATGGGCCGGCCCATACATTCATAATACAGATTTACAATTACATTCATTCATCCCTAATGTAATTAATGTAGTCCAATTCCAAACTGGATCGTACAAGTATCATCTCTCTTCTTTCTGTCTCTGTTGTGTTCATCATGGAGTGGACACATGCATATGCATCAAGTAGTATATAGTAAGTATGAAAAGTCAGCGTACGTGTGTAGTAGCTGTCAGTGTCGTCAGACCGCCATGGCCGGCGGCGCGTCGGCGTTGTGCTTGGAGCTGGTCTGAAGAAGCTCAACGCCGCCGTGGTCGGCGATGTTCTTGGACCTGTACCAGAGCGCGCAGACCACGAAGTAAGCCAGGTTGGCGGCCGACATGGCGCCCACCACAAGGTAGAAGAGGTCGACGCGGCCCTTATCGATGTCCTGCGCCAGCCACCCCGTCGCCCGCTCCACCGCCGTCACCATCGCCCCGCTCGCGTAGCTCGCCACCGCCAGCGCCAGCGGCGACAGCGCCCCCGCCACGCTCCTCATGCTCTCCGGCGACTCCTTGTAGCACAGCTCGTTCAGCCCGATCGCCGCGAACGCCTCCGACAGCCCCGCCATCGCCTGCTGCGGCACCATCCACGCCCACGACGACGACGACCCTCCTCCCGCCCCGCGCCGCCTCTGCTCCACCGCCACCGCCACCGCCATCGTCGCCACCGACAGCGCCAGCCCGATCCCGATGCGCTGCAGCTGGCTGATCCCCTCCTCACGCCCCGTCACCCGCCGCAGCGCCGGCACCACCGCGCGGTCGTACACCGGCAGCCACGCCGTGAGCGCCACCATGTTGAACACCACCATCGACCCCGCCGGCACCTCGAACCCCGACCTCCCCACCCGCCGGTCCGACTGCATCACCTGGAACACCGTGTACGTGCCCAGCTGCGTCAGCATCACGTAGTACACGATCGACGACGACCACACCGGGATCATCCGCGCAAGCACCTTCACCTCCTCCACCTGCTGCACCGTGCACAGCCGCCACGGGTTCGCCGCCGCCGCGCTCATGCCGTCCACCACCGCGTCCTCCGCCGTCACCACCGCGGCCTTGTCCAGCCACCGGAACTGGTCCGTGTGCTTGATCTTGGCCACCAGCTTGCTCCGGTGCGGCGGATCGAACAGGTCGTCGGCAGGAGACGCCGGGGCAGGGAGGCGCCTCTTGCGGGCGGCGGCGACGAGCACCTGGGCGAAGCTGGTGAAGGGGCTGCCCTCGGGGCGGACGCGGACGTAGAGGCGGGTGCCCATGAAGAAGAGCGCGCAGGAGAGGGCCATGAGCGCGGTGGGCACGGCGAGGCCGATGGCCCAGTTGATGTTGCTCTGGAGGTAGATGATGAGCGTGGCGGACACCATCATGGCGATGGTGAAGGTGAAGTAGTACCAGTTGAAGAAGCTGGCGATGCCGCGGCGGCCCGCGGCGGTGGCCGGGTCGAACTGGTCGGCGCCGAAGGCGAGGTTGCAGGGGCGGATGCCGCCGGCGCCGACGACGAGGAAGGCGAAGGAGGCGAGGAGCGCGGCGAGCTGGCGGTGCGTGGGGCCCTGGCACGACGTGGACGAGGAGGAGGCACAAGGTGGGGGGTGGAGAGATGGGATGGCGGCGGTGAGGGTGAGCACAAGCATGCCGAGGAAGGAGGCGATGGAGGCGGCGGCGAGGGTGGCGTAGCGGCCGAGGTAGGCGTCGCAGAGGAAGGCGCCGAGGAGAGGGGCGAGGTTGGAGGTACCGGAGAAGACGTTGAGGAGGGTGGCGGCGGCGGCGCTGGGGATGTGGAAGACGGTGGTGAGGTACACCAGCAGGTTCGCCGTCGTGCCGATCGTCCCCAGCCTTTCGCATGTCTCGTTCCCTGATCCATCGTCTCGTGTCAAACTCCATCCCTTTTTTTTAAGAGAAAAGTAAGAATTACCCCCTAACTATTGGGTGAGTACGAATAACACCTCTAAAGTTGAAAACCACACATCGCTCACCTCAAACTTTCAAAACCGAACAAGAAACCCCCCTCCCCCACCCTCCCCGGGAACAATGTTGCGAGCGGTTTGGAGTTCGAATATTACACGTGGCACAGTCCACTCAGCAATATTTTTCTAAAAAATAGCATGCCAACTTGACAGAATCCACACCCTCTTTCTCTTCCCCCTCTCCTTCAGAAACGCGTGGCCGGCCCACCGCCGCCGCGCTCTTTAGAACGAGAGGGAGAAGAGAGAGAAATAGATGTGGGGATTCTGACAAGTGGGCCCGCTATTTTTTTTAGAAAAAAATTACTAACTGGACTGCCACGTGTGCTATACGAACTCTAAACTGCTCGCAATAGTGCTAGGGGGTTTCTTGTCCGGTATTGAAAGTTCGGGGTGAGCGATGTTTGATTTTCGAGTTTAGTGGTGTTATTCATACTCATCCAATAGTTCAGGGGTAATTCGTACTTTTCTCTTTTTTTATTTACAAATTATTATTTGCAAAATGGTATTATAAGATCTACTAGACATGGCATCATCTTAAAGGCCCCATTTGATATAGATTAGTGAGTGGATTAATTAATTATCGCACATTATTTACTTATTATTTGGATGGATGAAATATTGTAATAAATAAACTTAACAAAATACTCCTCCGTTTAGTAATAAGTGGTCTAAATAATGCAGTAGAAAAAAGTTTATAGAAAAATTGAAGTGTGCAGCGAATAATTTATTTCATAATCCGGTAAATAATTTTAAAAGAATAGGGAGTTGTCAGTAATTCTTTTATATATGTTTGACTAGAAAAAATGTCCGTGCATTACAACATGTAAATATTTTTTTAAAATTTTATTATTGCTATACGTTTTAGTTAGGATAAAATTTACTTTAGGAATTCTCTTGATATTTTTTCAGAAAATCATGAGTTGCAATTATTAGTCCATATTTCATCTCAAGTTAGCATGCAAGTTTTTTTAAAAGATTTGTTATACGACACCTTTTATGCTTCCAAAAGGAAACAAGCTTAAAAACCGGCTCAAATACAGATGGCATACCAAAATACCACAAAAAACATCTTCAATTAAAGAAAACAAACTTAAAATACAACTCAAACACGGATATGTATTTCCAAAAACGAAAAAACTTAAAAACCAACTTAAATATGGATGACATAATAGTAGAGAAATACTCCTCTATGCAAATGATAATTGTTTTCCAAGGTCTTAAAAACTGCACCGTGCAGATGATAATTTTTTGGGGGTGCTTTGGAACGCATATGAACCCTTTCCCTACTTCTACTGGAATTGAAACGGTTTCAATGGGGGGAAAGAAAAGAAAAATCAGTTTGAAACCAGTAGGTGGTTGAAAAAGCAAAACGAAAAAGAGAGAGGTGCTGAGATTGGTACTACCACGCTGGGCTGGGCTGAGAAGAGGACACTTCCCTAGCGTAGTGCAGTTGGGTAACTTTAATGCAATTGATTGTTGGTGGTGCCATCAGGCATGTGCAGCTGCAGTGCACAGTGCTTCTATCTTGTCTATCTTCTTTCTTGCTTTCTTCTTCTTCTTTTCTTCTTCTTTCTACCTCCATGGCTCCTCTCCATCTGCCTGCTTCATCGGTTGCCTTTGGACTAACTTGCTTCCTTGATTGTATAACTTCACCACATTTACCATCTAACTTCTCTACTAAGCTTTTATTTTTTCATTGACGTTTAATTGGGAAAAAAGAGATGGAAAAAAAAGAGGAAGTGTGTACTTTGGTGTATGGATGAAGCAATAATGCAAATCCAGCGAGCTGAAGCATATATGCGCACAAATTGCGTATGAATTGATAGCTGAGATTTGGAGCCAGCAACTAACTAAAAGGAAGAGATCTAGCTAGTGATGTAGGAGACTATGCACTTCACTAAACTACAGGAGGTCATCATCTGCTATAGCTAGCTGCAGCCATGTTGGATGTCCATTTCCATCTTACTTTTTTTTGTGTTCAAAATAAAAACATACAGTACATGCATGCTCAAAGAAGAGAAGAGTAGGATCCAAACCGGAGAGAGTTAAAGGAGAAGAACAGAGCTGAGGGTGAGGAGCTAATTAAGAGCTAGGGAGGCCGGGAGGATATATATATATATATATATAACCATGGAGGAGCTAGAAGATACAGTAGTACATACCTATGACGTACGGCATGACCTTCCATCCATGGTACCGGACGGCTTGCTCGCCATGGCCGGAGATGTGCTGCTGCTTCTCCGGCGCCAGCTTAGTTTGCTCCTGCGACGGCGCCGGCGGCATACCTTGTGCTTAGCTAGATTTGTCCGTGTGAATAATTTATGTAAGATTAGGCCTAGGAAAGAAAGAAAGAAAGAAAGGATGGATGAAGAAGAAGAGGTCTCCGGCCGGCCGGGCGCCGGCTCATCCCTGCCTCCACCTGCCATTTATATACTACAACTACAAACTTACAAACCTACTGGACTAGTATATCTCACCTCCAAATCCAAATAATTTCACGTATGATATATGCGTGCGTACGTATATGTATGTATACGAGTGTGCCACGTACGTACGTACGTATACAAGTATTTATGGGGGCATGACATGAATGGGAATGAATAGACGAGCAGAGGATCTACCTACAGTAGAGGAGTAACAGTAATTTAGCAATGCTACTCAGGAACTCATGGACAAATAATTGAAGGCCGGCAGGAGTAGGAGGGCGTAGCCAACAAGATGCTGTTCCATCAGTCTAATTTTAAGTATGATTGTGGGTTTTTTTTTAATATTTGACCGTTCGTCTTATTTAAAAAATTTATAAACAAATTTTAAAAAATAAGCCACACATAGAATACTAGTCATATTTTATCATCCAATAATAATAAAAATATTAATAAAAAAATTTAAATAAGATCAACTGCACTTAAAATAGGACAGAGGCAAACCCTCCATATTTGCAGGATGTTAATGTGAGATGACAACGTTGACACATATGTATGATGATTAACTACCCATTACATACTGCTACTGTACTCCGATCCTGATGACTTGCTAATCCATTTGACATCAATTCAATGCTTTCATATATTTGCGATTGTAATTGCTGATTGACCTGGCAATTGCTCGTTTTTTCCCGGAAGCAGAGGTACATCTGTAGTTGCCATACTTGCATGATTCAAGGAAGGAAGTGTGTGTACCTGTACGTATCCCCAACTAACCAACTGCCTGCTTATGGCGACCTTCAATTCCTTCCTACCACTAGATATGATCTCTCTTCAATTATATGTAGTTTCCACTTTCTTAATTAACAACCACCTTGGATTTTCTTTGTCACTGCAAATATTGCTCCTCGATCGTTTTCTTTGTTTTGTTCAGCTCCTTCACTCTTTCTTTTGTTGTCTAAATTAAAGAAAGATTAATTTCTTAGCTAGGTTAGCTGCCATGCATGCATTCTGAATCTGAGTGAGATATCATGCATGCATCACTTTCATTTTCGTGTGGAGTCCGCAGCTCGTGGCCCTCGGGGCCGCAATATTAATTTATGAACCAACGCATGGGCTAGCTGCTTGTCACTTCACTCCACTCACTTTAGTTTATAGAGTGCATTTCTTAACATTTTCCACGATATATATATATATGCATTCATTTCATATATAGGTTGCTGTGACGGTTGCGACCTTTGCCTGTTATTTTTCACCGGTGAAACAAGCAATATTAGTACACCAACCGCCGGTCAACCTATACTAAATTAGTATACAATACGTTTAAAATGGAGGTTGGGGCTGCGCTTTTGTTAACGTCGAAAACAAGCATAATTAATTAAATGGAGTATTAGCTATTGTAAACTTGGAAATTTGATTTGTCAAAACTTTTGTATATTTTTTATTAAAAATATACTGTTTAGCAGTTTAAAAAGTATGCTCACAAAAAATGATAGAGTATCTCACCCCAGCTTCTCTTTAGATCACAGCCGCCTTAGGCTGTGTTCAAATGTAAAGTTTGAAAACTTCTTCCCCATATAAAACAAAGCGACACATTAACACACAATTAATTAAGTATTAGCTAAAAAATAAAAAAAAATTAAAATTATTTTTAAAGCAACTTTACTATATTTTTTTTAAAAAAGTAATGTTTAATAGTTTAAAAATGTGCACATGAAAAATGAGAAAATAAAAGTTATGAGCTTTTCCTCCCAAATGCACCCTTAGTTAAGAAAATTTCAATATATATGGACAATATTCTATAAACTGTAGGTAGCTACTCCACCTCATAATCATAAATGAATACACTGCTAGCTTTGAATGAGAGAATGTAGCAGATTGTTTTTAGTCTTCTCAACTGTTCATTAGGACCAGTACTCCTTCCGTTTTAAAATAAGTGTAATTTTACACGGTTAATGTGCAACGTTTAACCGTTCGTCTTATTTAAAATTTTTTTATAATTAGTATTTTTATTGTTATTAGATGATAAAATATGAATATTATTTTATGTGTGACTAATTTTTTTAGTTTTTCTACAAATTATTTAAATAAAACGAACGGTCAAACGTTAGATACGGATACCCACTGTACTTATTTTAAATTATTTTAGGACGGAGGTAGAATCTATCTATCTATTATCTATCTTCTATTATTATATACTAAAAGTCCATTAAACTTCCTACAAACGCTCTCAAGTTACCACATGGCGCTCTAATAAATTAGAGAAAATCCTGTAAATTCTAAGAAAAAAGCAAAACATCTACCCCTTGATTTTCACTTAAATTGGTGGGTCCAATATTATACACCGTTAGATAAAATTGATCCTAAAATAAACCAAATACTATGGGTCCCACCTAACTCACGTACGTACATGGGTATGCAGTACGTACGCCTCCTTCCAATTATTTTGGTATGTAGTATGTACGCCTCCCTCCAATTATTTCTTCCTTTTTCTCTCTTCTTTTTTCCATTTATATAATTGATATATATATTCTAAATAAACATAATTTACAAACAAAGAATATACCATCATATAATTCTTTATAAACACAGTTAACTAAATTAGCTCTACAATCTTTGAAAATAAAATTTACACCATTATATGTTTACCCATTAAATCAATATAATTTCCAATTAAACCGGTGTACTCATTAATTTGTACTATTATTTTCAAATAATACACTATTTTAAAATAAAGTTTACACAATTATAATGTGTACTTATCAAATAAATAATTTAAGATCTATATTAACTAATTATACGTGCACTTAAACAGATGGACCCATTATTTAAATCATGGGATCTTTTTTTTTATTAATTTGGACTATTATTCTCAAATAATGTACTATTTTAAAATAAATTCTACACCATCATATTGTGTACCCATTAAATTAACAATTTAAAATATATATTAACTAATTTACATTTACACTAGAACCGGTGGACCCATTATTTAAATCAACATATCTATTGTTAATAACTAAAGTGTCCAAAGTTCTCTTTTTGGTCCGCTGCACAATGCACGTCTACACCTTTGCCTTTCGCACGTGTGACAAAGCATCGTGTCTGAGGCATCTTAGGTGATCACGATCGCTGCAACGCTACCGCTTTTGTTAATAAAAAATCTTAAGCCACCACATATATGTCAACTGTTAAAGATTTTTAGAATGAGAAAACAACGAGTTCTCACCTACATTATTTAGAAACATTAGAAAAACAATGTCCCCTCCACCTCCCTCTCCAATCACATGTGCATAACACTGTTACACTGCCAACCCATCTCTGGCTCGAGTTGTATGCTATTCATTCCTCTCCAATCTCCTCCCTATTTTCAGCATAATATTAACACATATTAATAGAATTCGTACTAGGATAAGAGTAATAAGGGAGTTTTAAGGCCCTATTTTTTTTATTGATTCCATCTTTTGCATTTTCATTTGCACGCTCCACGCTTTTCCAAGTTTATAAATGGTGCTTTTCTTAAACGACTTTTTAACTATTTAGAAGTTAATTCATTTGTTTATAATCTCAAATAGCTATCACATAAATCAGATAATTCATCAATTTCTGTTGTCCTAAACCCTAAGTAGTACATATTTTTTTCGTGCGAATCATGGTGATCAACGAATAATCAAAGTGGTAACATGAATCTTAAGAGCTACTATGAACAATTGCAAATATGTGTCAAAATTATTTGCTATTAATTAGACATCTAATGGTTTGCTAGCAACATATTTAATTTCTCTCTACATGTATATAAACATGGACAAAGCTAGAATGAATATTAACATATATCCCATACATATATATTACATGTTAATATTCTCATTACATGTGGTAAGTCCATTAAAATTTCAAATACCCTCAAGCTACCACTTGGTGCTCTAATAAATTAGAGAACATATTAGAAATTCTAAGAAAAAAAGCAAATTATCTATTACTTGATTTTCACTTAAATCGGTGGGTTCAATATTATAAACCATTAGATTAAATTGATCTTAGAAGAAACTAAATACTACAAGGTCCCACCTCTCCACCTTCGATACGCACCTACGTACGCGTGGGTACCTATGCTTCCCCTCCCTTTTATCATTTTTCCCTTTCTTCTTTTCTTCATGTATACGCTTCCCTCTCTTTCTTACTATATCATGCGCCTTCATGAGACGATTTAATCACAAGAATTTTGAGTATCTTGCTCTCACATTTTTAATTTGTAGCCATACTACAAGCAATATATAGTTTATTATTTACTCGAGAAAATAACATGATTCAAAAGTCGTAAGTACTTAATCCATCTCCTACTTAAAAATTTGTGAATGGATTTTTAAGATACTTTAAGAAAAATAGAAACCTTAAATTATTATAAAATTACATTATCCGAACTTTAGTTTTCCCTTAATCTATGAGACAAAATCTTTGAACAAACAATAAAAATCTTACCTTTCAATAATATAAGTGCCCGCGCATACGCGCGGGCCACCTTCCTAGTTGGTACTAATGAACAGTTGAGAAGACTAAAATTTTTCACTAGTAGAATATTCTAACGAAATATTGTCCTGATGAATAAATATTGAGAAACTATATGTTTAGCCATCAACAACGATCAGATCTAAAGTCCTACATACTCCACAACCTTAAAGTTCATCGTCATAATAATGATAATGAAGTTCATTACATAGTTCAAAGTCCAGCGCATGATTCCCTCTTACTCAACTTAAATAGATGAAACCGATGTAGCGAAATTCGGCCTTGCCGGCCAGCTCGATTTTGGAGGTTTCCCGGCCGGTATTCGGTCGCCGGGAAGGATTGGATGCGGATGCAGCGGACGAACACCTTCTCAGCTGCATCCAATTCGCACGCTCGTACGTTTCTCCTTCAATTTTGCTTTTCTACTCCTTCTTGTTCAATGGAATGGGCTTTAGTTTCTACCTGTACTACTGGACTGGGCCAACCAAAGGGGCCCGTCTACTGCCCATTATTCTTTTTCTTTTTCTCTTTTTTAATTATATAAAGTGTTTACACTTTACTAGTAGTAGTTAGTATTTCAAATACTTGGAGTTTTTACACTTTAAAGTGTAAAAGAAAAATCCATTTTTTATATTCATGTACACTTTATTGTGGTCCAAGTATTTGACTGGATTTTTTTTTCTTTTTGACGCAAAAGGGGAATGAATAGTTGAGTCCCATCCTAGCAACCATGGTGTGCCCATGCTACAGACAACCATGGGCTTAATCACAAAGCTGACCCCTAGCTACAATAAAGCTTTATGATTGCAGCCACGTCGCATCTCCACTGCATAAGTGCAGATTGCAGTGTTGGGTGGAGTTGTTAGGCAGGAATGGATTGAAATTTCTTGCTTAAATAAAATAATTTGTCCGTTGGCAAGTGATTTTCCTGCTTAATTTCGGACCACAGTATCTTGGTCCCAATTGTGATCTTTGATGAAGATCACCATCGGTCATTCACTGCAAGATGGTGTCACTAGCTAGTCGATCTCATCGCCATATATATTCCATCGATCCCAAGATTAGGACTCTGCTTTAATGACATCTCCACACTTTGCCACACAAACTTCTGTATAATGTGCCAAGACACTCGTGTTAAGTTGCGTCAAAGCAACGTGTCTACGACGTATGAGCCTATTGGATAAGACCGAGTTCTTTCCAGCTACACAAAACGACAACTTACTTCCTTTCTGATAGTATGTTTTCCAAACCGCTAAACGACATGATGCATTTTTTTTAAAAAAAATAGTTTATTGTTAAGTTAATAATAATTAATGCTCAATTAATTATATACTAACAATTTATCTTATTTCACGTGCCACCAAGTTACTCTACCAAATCGTTACGTCAAACGCAGCCTAAGACCGTGTGGCACATCGTATCTGTTACATGAAACGCTAATTAACTTCAATTCGATTGATCAAACTTGCTAGCTAGTCACACGTGATCGAGACAAAGTTTGGCACTGATCAGTTAACCAAACAGGGACATATTATTGCTACACTTCAGACGAAGCAATTGTGGTAGGCGGGTGAAAGCTAGCTTTTCCCAGTCTCTGACTGGTGTTAGCGATGATGGAGGAGTTTTAAGTGGCCTGGTTCTCTCTTCGGGTAAATAACAGGTTCAGTGTTCGGGTGTTGCCAGCATCCTAGATCGATGTTGTATTCTCTTTTTTTTTTTGTATTCTCTATGGAAGGTGGACTTCACTTTGAAGTTTCTACTCCACGGTTGGGATATTTGGGTGGTTTGAGACAGTTGTCCGTCATAATAAGTTAGAGTTGCTTGTCTATTGTGATGAGCTTGGTGCAGTGATGATCTATGTCGGGTCTTAATACACTATAACAAATGGTTTTCGCGGACACCCGATGATCTCTTGACTTTTGCACGCGGGCTGAAAGCAAATCCACCTCTTCCTCAACCATCTCCATCATCTCAGCAAGACAGAAGTTGATTTGCAGCCATTCAAGTGCTCCATCGTTGAAGGTTGGTTGCTCTTCGGATTCACCCTTCCTGTTGTTCCCTAACAGAAGAAACCATACCGGGTTTGTCATTCGGGTTGAGCTCGGACCACCTGCGCAATTTCGGTTGACAGGGTCGATGTTAGAGCTCCTTAGATTCAATGATGAGCCTCATGGGGATCCTTCGCTGAGTCCGGTGACGCACACACCAAAATCTACGGCTCAGCAACAAACCTCAGTCTTGTGCCGTTTCCGTAGATGCAGCCGATGGGGATTAACGGTTTGCCAAGCGGAGTGCACATCTTTTGAGGCCCAGGATAGCAGTCGTCGCGGCTTCGCCACAGATCCCTGTTGACTTGCTCCTTTTTCTGCTGTTAGGTTATTTCAGGAAGATTGCTTCTGTAGTTCAGTTAACCCTCCCTTCTCAGGGGTGGCTCTTTTGCTTTCAATTTTTATCCTTGGTTATGTAACAGGGTTTATCCCCTAATTCTATTCTTGCTTAATAAAGTTGATGTGTTTTTTTTTAAAAAAAGCAAATCCACCTGCAAAAATACATAGGGGATCCCTGTCAAGACCCGCTAGTGAAAATAATTTCTTGTAGGTGTTCGTCTTACGAGGACCACCTGTAAAAATAGATCCATTTTTACATGCGGGTCTCTTAGACAACAACACGTGAAAATACACGTCTGCCTGCTAGAAATAAACAACTATTGATATAAAATCGGGCTAGGTGCACGCAAGGGTAGTGACACGCACCAAATCCCCAGCCCTCTCCCACACATCGAATCCACCGGTCCTCTCTCCCTCTCCTCTCCTCACTAGCTCCCCCCCATCCGTCTCAAATGTCAATCTCAACAATAGGAGCAACCACCTCTCCCCTCTCCTCTCTCTAACCTACGGATCGGTTGGTGATATGAAGAGGAGGCATCCATGGGACCTGGGAGTGGCGCATCCAACGTCCTCGGAGGCCAGGTGCGATAGATCGATGGAGGCCGGCTTGGGAAGTGGTGGATCGATGACAGGCGCAGCAGAGCCTGATGGATACTACGTCGGCGGTCGCCAAGTGCCGCGAATCGATGGTGGCGACATGCTTGGGAGGCGGCGAATTAATGGTCGTGGGCCTAGGAAGCAGTTCAATCTACCACGGTCGTTGGGACCGGCGAAACGATGATGACCTGGCAGTTCCGCCAGTCCCGACAGGGCTTGGGGGATCCAACCACGACACTAGATTGTCGTGGCAACGACGATGACTTTATCATTGTATTTTGCAAATGAGGATCGAGGCCAAAACACTTTTTTCTTTTACCATTTCTTTCAGTGTCTCATCGGTTGCCCATATTCTCTAATAAGCCAAAACATTTAATAGGGAATAAAATTTAATTTGTAGGTAAAACTTTTGTATATTTATTGGTAGCGACTTAAGAGTCAGTGCTAAAAAAAATTACGTTAAAAATATCTTAAAATCAAGTTAAAAAATTTAAATTTTAGTTTTTCTTTAGCTTATTAGACCGACCAATGGGACTCTCAAATATCTTGTGTAGTCAATTGTTTTAAGTCTTTAAGTACATGCTTGAAAAAAATCGATTTTTTCGCCTTATTAAGGAGGTCGTATGAAAAATCATTTTTTATACGCGTGGTTAAGGTGCACGCTTGTAAAAAATTGTGATATCCAAAGATAACTAGCATGGTGGCCCGCGCAGATTGCTCGGCTAACATCATTATATTTTCTCTCATATAATAGCATATATGTTTTCTCATTATATTATTAAAATATATTACAATGACAACATAATTTTAAATTTTGCAATAACTTTACGAAACTACTAATGTGTAATAACTACTCTAGTCTCCTCTTCTAATATTCCTTATTTTTTTAATTCCGAATTTTCGTTATTTTTAAATTGTATTTCTATATAGACTCTGCTTTTTCTTTTTCTCCGATTAATGTGAGAATTTCTAGGCCATGAGAGCGAACGTGGAGGCTCTTTTTTCTATTTCTTTAATAATATAATAGATAGATAGATTGGCTGTTGGCGTTTGTGGCAGGTCTACGAAAAGCCATTGGAAATATCTGCTTGCAGTAGTGGTGGACTTGATGCCATCAGAGTTTTTTTTCTCTGTTTTTCTCTCCATATAGTTGTTTTTATGGTTCTCCTCGCTTTAGAATTATTTTCCGGTTTTTTCCTATAAAGTGAGTTAGTAACATTTTTCTTGTTAACATAAAATAGGAAGGCGATTGTACGTAGTATTGGGCTATTGGCTTGCCGTGGAACGCGTGAGAGTGAGGAGGAAGAAGAGATTATAGTGTTTTTGCGTCTGATACATACAGATATTATACTCCTACTGTGTATGGTGATGCATCGATCGATGACGTACCTCTAAATCTATCTACCATCTACAGTAGAGTGATCGATTGTGATAATAAAATTAATTAAACCTTGGAGGCTATGGTGTTGGCGGTTCCGGGCTGATGATGATGATAATCCGGCAGCTCGACGTGGTCGGCGATGGTGGTGTTCTTGAACCTGTACCAGCGGGCGCAGAGGAGGAAGTAGCAGACGTTGGCCGCCGCGATGGCCGCGACGGTTAGGTAGAAGAGGTCGAGGCGGGCGTGGTTCAGATCCTGCGCCAGCCACCCCGTGGTCCGGTGCACCGCCGCCACCATGAAGCCGCTCGCGTAGTTGGCCAGCGCGAACGCCAGGAAGAAGAGCGCCCCCGCCACGCTCCTCATGTTCTCCGGGAACTGCCTGTAGTACAGCTCCGTCTGCCCGATCGCCGCGAACGCCTCCGACATCCCCGCCGCCACCTGCTGCGGCACCAGCCACAGGAACGACATCTTCACTCCCACCGCGCCCAGCCGGCGCCGCCGCTGCTCCACCGCCGCCGCCACCACCATCGTCGCCACCGACAGCACCAGCCCCACCCCGATGCGCTGCAGCTGGCTGATCCCGCCCTCCTTCCCCGTCACCCGCCGCAGCGCCGGCACCACCACCCGGTCGTACACCGGGATCCACACCGTCATCGCCATCATGTTGAACACCACCATCGACCCCGCCGGCACCTCGAACGCCCACCACCTCGTCAGCCGCCGGTCCATCTGCAGCGCCTGGAGCACCACGAACGTGCCCAGCTGCGTTACCACGATGAAGTACACGATCCCCGCCGACCACACCGGGATGATCCGCGCCAGGCACTTCACCTCCTCCACCTGCTGCACCGTGCACAGCCGCCACGGGCTCGATCTCGACTCCGGCGTCACCACGGCGGCCTTGTCCAGGCACCGGAACTGGTCCGTGTACGCGATCTTGGCCACCAGCTTGCTCTGGTGCGGCGGGTCGAACAGGTCGTCGGCGGAGGCCGGTGCGGGGACGCGGCGCTTGCGGACGGCGGCGACGATGACCCGGGCGAAGCTGGTGAAGGGGCTGCCCTCGGGGCGGACGCGGACGTAGAGGCGGGTGCCCATGAAGAAGAGCGCGCAGGAGATGGCCATGAGGGCGGCGGGGACGGCGAGTCCGATCGCCCAGCTGACGTTGCTCTGGAGGTAGATGATGAGGGTGGCGGAGAGCATCATGGCGACGGTGAAGGTGAAGTAGTACCAGTTGAAGAAGCTGGCAATGCCGCGGCGGCCGGAGTCGGTGCGCGGGTCGAACTGGTCGGCGCCGAAGGCGAGGTTGCAGGGGCGGATGCCGCCGGCGCCGACGACGAGGAAGGCGAAGGCGGCGAGGAGAGCGGCGAGCTGGCCGTGTGTGGGGCCCTGGCACGACGACGAGGAAGAGGAGGCAGTGCAAGGTGGGGGGTGGAGAGATGGGATGGCGGCGGTGAGGGTAAGCACAAGCATGCCGAGGCAGGAGGCGAGGGAGGCGGCGGCGATGGTGGTGTAGCGGCCGAGGAAGGTGTCGGAGAGGAAGGCGCCGAGGAGGGGGGCGAGGTTGGTGGTGCCGGAGAAGAAGTTGAGGAGGGTGGCGGCGCGGACGCTGGGGAGGTGGTAGACGGTGGTGAGGTACACCAGCAGGTTGGCGGTGGTGCCGATGGTGCCCAGCTTCTCGAACGTCTCGTTCCCTATCACGTATGGCATCGACTTCCATCCTCGGTACCGGACGCTGCTGATCACCTCCTCCTCCTCCTCCTCCTCGCCGCCGGTGATCTTCTTCTCGCCCGGCTGCTGCTGCTTCTCCATGGCTGCTGCTGCGTCCATGATAGATCTTGATCTTGATCGAGTAGAGTAGAGTAGCTAGCTAGATAGAGGAGCTTGCATGCAGGGAGGAGTGCAAGGAGAGATGAGTGAGTGGAGGCCTATAAATAAGCTTAGCAGAAGCAGAGTCCAGCAAGAGACAGACAGACACAAAGATATTGATTCGATTCAAGGGCATGTATAACGTCGACTGAACTGCATGAACAGAGTGTAATTTAATTGTTGTGAGATTGCCTTCCTTCCACATGCACAGTGCTCAATTAAGTACCATATGCTCACTGCAAAAGTACTTAAATAATGGTGCCATTTTTCTTTTAAAAAGACTTTTCATGCATGAGTTTCTTACAAATACTACTTTTTTTGGATAATTAATAATTTTAATTCATTCCTTCGTCTGTACTCTCAAATAATTAATTACCAGGGACCATTTATCGCAAATCACGAATAATCATCACAAATCATCCATCCACCTGTAAATCTGTCTTCCTGCGCATGATAGTGTATACTTAAGCACGAGTCAGAGACCAAATAATTGAGGCTGCAGGTTAATTAATTAATGGGAATTTGGGGAGCTTGTGGATCAAGCTAATATATGGTAGCTGTACCGTGTGATTTTGCTACACTCTAGCTTAGTTCGTCCGATAGTTTGGGCAGGGGGGTCGATATGATGTAATTAAGTTGATGTCGGCCAGTATCAGGATATACACATAGATTAGTCAAAACGGTGTTAGTAATTTTTTGGCCGGAAACTGTATATGGATGTGTATGTGTACAACGTCATTTTCAGTTAACTTTATTTGACCAAAGGAAAAGAAGGCTTAATTGGTACTTCCTCCGTTTCACAATGTAAGTCATTCTAACATTTCTTATATTCATATTGATGTTAATAAATCTAGATAGATGTATATGTCTAGATTCGTTAACATCAATATGAATGTGAAAAATGCTAAAATAATTTACATTGTGAAACAGAGGAAGTACTAGCAAATGGTGGTTAGTTTGAGTATGAGTGCTACTGATCAAGTGTGGAGTCAAGATGACCGCAGCTGGTGAATAGTACGTAGGGATGGATGTATTCCGGCGGCAAGTGTACATTATTTATTAATTACTACTCCTATTATCAATCATATATAGTATACTCCAGCAATGACAGTCAAAACAAGTTGCAGTACTAGTAGTAGACAGAGAGAGATATTACTACGTACAGACTAGCTAGAGAGTACCGATGGACTGCAGATTATTCTGCTTTCAGATTTCAACGTCAATGCAAAGCAATTTACTACAGTAGCTATACTGTATATACTGTCAATTAATCAGCTGATTTTGTTTTCCCGGCCGGTCCTTCTCTAGCTACGATTTCTTTTTTTTTAAAAAAAAATGGACGCTACCTTAATTAAATTAGCTTGCTCGTGAAGCTAGATACATACTTCTACTCATTACAAAATCTCAGTTTCTGCACATGTGTTTATTAGTTACTCTAGTTACTACTCAAACTGGCTTGCTAATTACTCCAGTCTTTAGCCGCCTGCGGATATATCGGTCCTGCCGGCTGCTAACTGGGTAGCTTAGCTAGTCGATATCATCAACTTGCTGCAGCGAGCGCGGCAACTGTACGTATATATACATACGAGTGCTTCTTAATAATTAATTAAATTAGTTTGACTTTGCTAGCACTGCCACTATATATGGAGTATACAGTGCAACTGGATAGTACTCTCCTCCGTTTCAAAATGTTTAACACCATTAACTTTTTGATATATGTTTGATCGTTCATCTTTTTCAAAAAAATATTGTGAAATATGTAAAACTATATGTGTACACGAAAGTATATTTAACAATAAATCAAATGATATGAAAAGAATAAATAATTACTTAAATTTTTTGAATAAGATGAATAGTCAAACCCGTACTAAAAAGTCAACGGTGTTAAATATTTTGAAACGGATGGAGTAGCTATTAAGTTTGTCGCATGCATATATATGCGGCGGCCGAATTAAGTCTGACGCTAGCTGATCCATCCATCGACGCGACTCGATGGTCATCGATCGATCCGATGAGTCCTCTCCTTCCTAACTTAATTATATACTGCTACAGTACTTCTTCCTCTTTATATTTGCCAATTACAAACAAAATTTGAGGTGAAGAATTCTACGGAACTCTTGATTGAGTAGTAATTTATATCATGCGTGCTATAAAAGTTAGTCGATAAAATGGAAAGATACATCTCAATCGCTATAGCCATTTATCAACTTAATATATATATACTTAAAAGAACAGAAGATATATACTTATTTGATTACAACAGAAGAACACTTGATATTTTCAGAAAATTTAAAGTTGATGACCTGGGAACCAAGGTCCCCATTCCCCATTGCCCATGAAGAAGCCACATGTCCTCCAATATGACTTAACATTTTTTCGAGGTTTGTGTGGGTTTGTGATACATGGACTATCTTGAATAAAGAAGAATGAAGCCCACCTAGGAAAATAAGTTATTTTTTATGCAGATATATTAAGAGTCTTGCCTGTAAAGTTTATTATAATTGTCATGTCATTATACGTTTTGTTTGTAAATATAAATGGGTGTGTGTAGAAAAATGGTTTGTGTAGTGTGACACGTACCACCGAGTTAGAGAGATCGATATGGGGCGTCCTTGGCTTGTCTCCTTCATCCTATACTAGCTAAAGGCCATGTATGTTGCAAAACAAATATTATATTTTTTTTGAGAGAAATAAATATTATAAGTGATAAAGCAAAAGCAAACGTTATAAGTTTATAGTATAGTTAGTTGATTAGGTATATGATGTCATATCCAAAGCAAAAGTATACACGTGTGGGGAACTTATGATCCTACATGTGAGTTTAATTATGGCGTTGGAACGGACTCAAACATCACTACTAGCATCATATTATGTAATTTAAAAATTGAACAAATTATATATGAGTTGAGTCCTAGCTACTCTTGGGCAGGAATCCCGCAGGATGAAAGCGATGAGTAGCTTCTGGATGCAGCTAGCCCAGGTGCGCATGCATGATCGATGGATGATGCATCCATCCTATATATCCAAGCCACCGATCGATCGATGGAGTATATACTCCCTCCATCCTAAATGTTTGACACCGTTGACTTTTTAAAATATGTTTGACCGTTCGTCTTATTCAAAAAATTTAAGCAATTATTAATTCTTTTCCTACCATTTGATTCATTGTTAAATATACTTTTATATATACATATAGTTTTACATATTTCACAAAAGTTTTTTGAATAAGACGAACAGTTAAACATGTTTAAAAAAGTCAACGGCGTCAAACATTTAAGGAAGGAGTTAGTATATGTGTGTACGCGCGGCGGCCTGTCGATCGATCGATCCCCAATAAACGTACTGCAGGATAACAACAAACCTAGAGTAGCTTTTAATTTTCTCCTATCATACATGCATCATCGATGGATATATACTCAACAAGTAGCTAGCGCGCGTGGCAGTGGACAGGAGGATGATGGTCCGGATCGATATATATAGACTACCGATTGATCGATCGATCGACATGATGTACAGTACACTAGAGCTAGTGCACATCACCGTCGTCGTCGTCGATCAATATGCACGATCGATACAGAGATAGATTTGCATGTCTCCAGACACATCTCTTGGTATTTTACGTATCATATCTTTATATAAAATATATATAAATTAATATGAGATATATTATTCTATAAACGTACGAAGCTTAAATTCAATTTGTGTAAGTTATAGTTATTGCATATGTTTGTTGAGAAAAAAATATATCACATATTAATCTTGATATTTCTTAAATATTTTAACGAATATTATTAAGATGCATGCATGATACGACGTCGCGGGAGATAGAAACATTTTTCCCTATGTGTTGATACGGCGGTTGAACATGCATGCATGTTGGCATTTTCATGAGATAGATCTAGCTTTGACTCGATCGACATGACTTGTCCGCATGCTTACGTGCACCACTGCCACAGTCACTCTCTCCTGACCATCGTCTCTATAGTCAAAACCTGTCACTGCTGGCCATTGAGTCGTAAGCTGGATATCGGCAGGCATGCCGGCCTGTCTGCAGTCTCGATCGATCGCCATGCATATATATACGCATTAATTACATTATATTGATCGATCTGTACATATGTATACATGCATGCTAGCTGTACTTGTATTTGTATGGATCAATCTGAACGTATGTACATGCTCGATGCCTTCAGTTTCTCCCTTTCACAAGAGCAAGTGAGAAGAATCTATCTATCTTATTAGCTATCTTGTGAAAGTTGTAGCTAAAGTAGTAGTACTAGTACTAGTAAGAAAGCAGCTAGCTAGATTACCGGCCGTCACGTTGCCACATACACTAACTGAGAGCAACGTCCATTTACCGCTTGCACGTATACGTGTGTAGTCAAGTGTAAACTCAAGACTGACAAATTGCATGTACTTTTGCGATATATATATCTCTATCGAATGAGATATAGATACGCGGTTAATTAGTTAATTAATTTTCTGAGACGAGATATATACATATACCGTACCTGCAGATCAATTTTTCCGTCGCCGTCTCGAGTCATGACAAAAGTTCAATAATTAATCGATCGATCAATTCAAATCGTCCTTGTCCACCAGAGGCAGAGGGCGCCCGAGATAGACCGCTTCTACCTCCATCTTTATTTTAGACAATGATATGCATGCATGTCCCTCGACCATTCATATATACATTCTCAAATTAGATCTGCTCCATTTAATTTAATTCGCCAAATGGTATCAAAAGATCGTTTTGGTAACGTAACTGATCAAGCACTCATTTACATCCATCTCCATGTAGAATTAATTGCAGATCCATATAAATGCGGTACGCGTGTATATACTCTAGCTAGCTAGCGAATTGGATGTAGCTAGCCTTTTGCTCTCTTTATCTATCAATCATCAAAACATCATTACTGACGAGTATCTGCTTATTTGGAAAAATGGTGGAAACTATATATGTTGTGGAAGTCTGAAAATTCACGCTGAATCAAAAAAATGTACGTCCAGGATTTGGTGTGGACGAATCTTGAACGTCCTTTTTCGATACATAGTTAGTTTTGCACTACATATTTTCCCTGTTTATTTTAGTGATCATCGTGCTGAAAGTGCATATTCTCACCGTTCAAAAAATTCTTAGAATTGAGACGAGACATAATACAGTACAACAAATACATACAACTATACTACTATACTACTAG